GGAAGTAGGGAGTGTGGTGGGCGATTCATTATTAAAGGCATTTTTCTTCCCAATGAACCGCTAATTGCACTCTGACCCTCTTTGCCAGGAGTGTCTGGACATCGCCTGCTGATTTGAAGTAGAGAATAAATCTTCCTGCTTTGCTTTCCTTCTGCATGCTTCACTTTGCTTTTCTTCATTAAAATGCCCTTATCTTCACCCATGCGTTCTTCATGTCATTTTGTCCTCCCTTTCTCTCTGAGGAGGGGCAGCAGTAGAGCATCTTGGTGGGCACCTGATGAGCAGACAAGGTCAACTCACCTCAGCCTTTTTGTTGGTTGTTGCGGGGCTCGAGACAATGGCAGTTCTGAACAGGGAGTGCTATAGTTGTAGTAGCTACTAACCGGCAGTCCTGAGTGCAGGTCAGGGGCTTTGCTTGCTGCGATGCTTATGGCTTTATTTGACTGAGCTTGGCACAAGGTAACAGAACCAAAGGCTATGCCTCTGCCCTGCCATTGATTCCCCTCCTGTGCTGGGGGAGCTCTCTTCTGGAGGGGATGGGGGAATACACCTCCCTCTTTCCATCCGGGATGGATGTGGGATGTTTTGTTGTGTAGGCCCCCAGGGTCCTTGTTCACCCTTACGTGTGCCGTATACTACTACTGCTCAACACTGTTGGCTTATTGCGGAGCTTGTGGAATATGATGGCTTGCTGACGTAAGAAGAGGTAACTTTGGGGACAGGTAACTTTTGGGTGGGAAACACACCCTGAGCTGGCCGGACCCTGGGTGGCAGCTGCTTGAAAACCCGGTGCTTTCAGCACTGTACTGGGGTTTGACCGGTGTCTGTTGAGCCACGATTCAGTACTATCAGAGGACCGTGGTTACGGCAGGACCCAAACCACCTCTGTGAATGTCCCGGTTCAGCCAGGGGTCCAAAATACTGGTAAGAACACAGTAGTTGAGGCAGAGACCCAAGCCACGTGTGAGAACATTGTGGTTGTGATAGGGACCCAAACACCACCTACAGTAATAGCTTCAGCAGAAAAAAAAAAAAAAAATGGACAAGTGAACGCCTCCATATGATCGAATAACAAGGGGGTGAGGAGGAGGAAGCGTCTGGTTGGGAAGCTGGTCGTTCCTTCAGGAAAGAAGTGGGAAGAAGAAGTGAGAGAGATTGCTGCAGAGATGGAAAGTACCCAGTCCCTGACCTCGAGAGAACTTTGAGACATGTGGAAAGATGAGAGACGGTAGCCAGGTGAGCAGAGTACTGCCTGGCAACTCCGATGCTGGGAGCGTGGGGCCAAGAGTCAGCCACTGATTGGTGAGGAAGCCCAAAAGTTGGGATCCTTTTCCAGGGACCAGGCAGTTGACAGTGGAATTGGAAAAAAGACAATGAATTGCGGTCTCTGGAGGTATCTCCTGTTGACCCTGAGGGCAAGATGAAGGTGGTCACATCCCAGTAGTAGTGATCAATAACATCTGTATCCTCACCAATCTGGCAACAAGACAACAATAACTGATTACAAGAAAGATGATTAACAGCCTCTGCATGGTCCATTCTTCTGCAGGACACTGCAGCCTCAGTGGTGAGGGAAGCGTTGCCCTGGGGAAGCTATGGGTGTACGGGTACCTGGGGAGCCTTCGCCATTCCCAAAGTGAGGCGAGGGTGAACCGATGCATGACTGTGGATAATCAAAGCAAGCCCGTGTCACTGCACAGCCATCCTCAAGAAGCCATTGCCAGAGCCACCCCTGAGCAACCACATCTCTCTTGCTCATGAACAAGGGAGAGCCTCTGCAGGGGAAAGGATGACACAGAGGCATGGGCTGATATGCAGCAGAGCTTTAATGAGACAAAGGAGGAAATGAGGTTGCTTTGAGTTGAGGTGCCAGTGCAGGGAGCACCAGGGACAGAAAGGTGCGTGCGCACCACGGCTGTGGCAGAGATCCCAGCAGGTGTCCATCTGCAACAAGCCCCACAGAGGGAGCAGGGCCAGCAGGGCCTCCCTAGGCTGGCTTTGTGGGGCTCCCAGCCCCGCGGAGCACAAGGCAACAAGGACACAGGAGGGAAAGGATAGAGTGGAAGAAGGGGAGGGCAGCCGTGGGCCGTGATCTCAGAGAGCCTGGGCTGGCCCCATTGTTTCAGAAGGGGTGCTGATGTTGCTCAGCCGCTCTGAGAGCAAGAACCCAATGCTCCGTCCGCAGTCCGGTATCATCTTGTGGGTCCCTGAGGCCCTTCCCCAGGGCCGTCGCCGGCAGCTTTAGCAGGGGAGGCACCTCCTGCCGCAGTAGCGACTGCCCAAGCCGGAGAGGCCAAAGCCCCCGGAGGAGATGGGCACTCCCTCAGAGCTGAGGATGCTGCCGACGGCGGCGGAGGTGGAGGAGCCCACGGCGGTGCTCTGCGGGAAGGAGCTGAGGATGGGGCCGGGCAGGGTCACCACCACGGGGGAGGGCTGGATGACGACAGTGGAGCTCTGGCACTGCCTGACACAGGGCTCATTGCAGCTGTTGGCCAGCGGGGTCGGGCCGCAGGGCTGGCATGGCACGCAGGGCAGGCACCAGTTGTAGCAGGACATGTCTCGACAGTGGAGATGAACCTGAGAGCAGGAGCAGAGGAAGGCAAAGCTTGAAGTGTGTTTCAACAACAAGTCACCCCAGCACAACGGAGGAAAGACATCAGCTGTATACAAGAGGCAAAGGCATTTTGGGGAGGCCGTAGCGTTTCTGCTTCCCATTACCCTAAAAGAGCCCGGAGAAGAGTGAACACGTCCATTGAGGTCCATGCTTACCCAGAGGTCACTTCAGTTGACCCCAGCCTATCTCCATGTGATATTTTCGTCCCCTTTCCCTCTCTCATGATAAGCCGTCCTATCACCCAGCTTATGACAAAGGGGCAAGTATTTGAATGAGAAAACTTGAGGGCGAAGAGGAGGAGAAAGGGGAGGAACAGGAGGAACAGCTTCAAACTCACCTTGTTCCCAAGGAGATGGAGGCGAGAGGAGTGGATGAGAGAGTGAGGGGAAGGGCCCGCTTTATACTGCTCCTGCACTGCCCTGGGGCCTCCATCACTGCACACGGGCAGTAATTTTCCAAAGGACTCACCTCCAAAGCAAAATAGCCTACCTAGTGGCACATGTGGTGTTTTGGTTTTTCTCAACACTGTCCCTTCATTTCCTCATTTCTGACATGACTATTAGGCCACAGAGGCTCCTTTCAAATATCAAGACGAGTGGCCCAAGGACTTCCCGGACACAAACACATTGGTACAGGCAGAAGCTCTGCTCCAAGTGCTGGAGGGGTCTGTGCAGGAAGAGACAATATAATGGGTCTGGGGAAATCTGGTGATGCTGTTTTCAACTCTCTTTTCAGGAAGGTGCACATAGCCTCCCACCAATGCAGTCCTCCCCTGTTTTTGTCAGTTTGCTTGCCAAAGACGTTGCCGCTCAGGGCAGTCTCTGTGCCTCCCCAACCAATGCTGTCAGCAGGCTTGCAGAAGGACAATGTAATCCAACCAAGTCCCGTGATTCCACAACAACCCTGTGGAGTCAGTTCCCTTCTCACTTCATGAGTCGTGTGCTGAGGCTCAGAAAAGGGCCTTGGTCCTCCCACTCACCTCACACCACCATTCACCTTGGTTGCACGCTTTGTACCCTGACACACAGAAGACACTTTTCCAAGTCAGGCTGATTGACCTGTAAGCCCCCCAAGCTCTGGTTGAGCTGACATGAAGGTGGTGCTGAGGGCAATGGCTGTTGGGGCTGCCTCGAGCAGTGTACTCAAATACAGCCCAATGCCTGAGAATAGTTTTCTAGGGCAGGGATGGAGCTGCCCTGGCTGCAGGGCAATTCAGCCCTGCGTGGGACACGGGCCTGCAGACAGCACGCACTCCTGGCTTGGCCTCACACCAAAAGGCTGACACGTGGCCCATCCACAATTAGAGTGTGACTCGCCATGGGTAGGGAGAGTCTATCCCAGGAAGCTTGCCTACTGAACACATTCCCTTGCCCTCCTGGGATGCGTCCCACCTGCCTCCATGTCTGCAGGGAAGACTCCTTGATGTAGTCTGAGAGGTGGCTTTGTACCCAGGGCCCTTCTGAGCACATTCCTCCCAGAACATCCTCTCTACAGCACACTGTCTTTGTTTAGGAAGATGGGGCCTGGCTGTCCATTCCTTTCCACCCTCAAAGTCTCTGCTTGTTTGTCTGAGTATTGTGCTGGACCCTTCTTGCTGTTGGAACACGACGTGCCTAAGGTGCTGCCAGATCTTCTGAGCTCCTTTGCACTTCACAGCTGCCTCTGTGGCATACTACCTACCAGCTGCCTGAATAGGCCAAATTTGGCATGCCTGAAAAGCAGGGCTTGTACTCTGCTACTCTCTCTGCTACTCTCTTTGAGATCAACATTTGCTGCGATTCCCTCATGCACCTGAACCAGCCACCTCCACAGGGAAGGCCGGGAGCTTGGTCAGGCCAGATTTCCCCTCCATAAATCCATGCTGACCACTCACAATCCCCTTCTTGTCCTTTCATCTTGGGAAAGGGCTTCCAGGATGATTTGCTCCATCACCTTTGCAGGGATGGAGGTGAGGATGTCTGGTCTGTCACTCGCGGGCTCCTTCCTTGTGCCTGTCTTGAAGACAGGAGGACCACTGGCTTTCTTCCAGCCCTCACATGCATTCCCTGACTGCTGTGGCTTTCAAAGGGAGTTGAGAGTGGCTTTGTCGTGACACCAACCAACTCCCTTCGGTGCTTGACTTCTGGTTCCTTGCACTCAGGTCAGTTCAATCTCTTTCAGTGTTCCCACAACAGTCCCTCCTCTACAGCAGGCATGTCTTTCCTGCTCCAGACTTTCCAAGGAATGTCAGGAGACTGATCCCTCGACAACAAATCGTGACAGTAAAGAACAAGGCCAAGAACCCTTGGAGTAGTTCCACCTTTCCTGTATCCACTGTCCTCTGCGAAGCTGCTCCATTCAAAACTGCTGCTGCCTTTCACCAAAACTGGTTTTGCTGCTGACCTAAATGGAAGAAGACTGTCTTATTGCCCTCCACATCCTTCACCTGACTGAATGCCAGTTGGACTTTGGCTTTCCTAACCCCAACCCTGCATACTCAGTCCAACTAGCAAATGCTCTCCACCAAGAAAAGAGCATTGAGAGGAAGATGGCTGAAACAATTGGCACAGCCTGGTTGCTTGGAGATGCCACAGCTAGTGACCGTTGGAGCAACCCGAGAGAGAAGCACATGGTACGTCCTTGGAAAGCAGTGCCTTTGGGTGCTCTGCGGACTGGTGCAGCACAGGGCAGAGCTGGGCGTCTTCCTGCCAAAGGGATTGCAAACCGTCCCTCTTCACTGCCCCACGCCAACATCCCCTGCCTGCATAGGACCCCTCCACCAGTTGGGAGGTATCTTCTGCCCAAGTTGACATGGTCCTGCCATGGAAATTATTTGGCTTCTCAGCCCGGCACATGAAAGGAGCCTGCATGGAAAACCAGGCATGTCAAAAATGTGGAAATGAAGCAACAGTGTTGACGGAAACCAAAACACAACCTGTGCTACTAGGTACGTTATTTTGCTTTGGAGGTGAGTCTGTTGGAAAGTTACTGTCCATGTGCAGTGACTGTGGGCCTGAAGCAGTGCATGAGCAGTATAAAAGCAGGCCCTTCCCCTCACTCTCTCATCCGTTCCACTCGCCTCCATCTCCTTGGGAATAAGGTGACTCTGAAGCACTTTCTCCTCCTTCTCCTTCTCCTCTGGAGTCTTCAACACATACGTGTTCCTTTTTCCCTTCTGGGTGTTGGAACTGCATCTTTTAGGAGAAAGGAGGGGACAGAAGGTGTGGAAATGTGACAAGCTGGGCCATGGTTGAGATGTCTCCTGAGCTATGGTGTAGGTGGGGACCTTCCCTGGGCTTGGTCACTCTGTGCAGGGCTCTTTGGGGCTGACAGGAAGGAGAAACACATGGGACTCCCTACAATGTCTCTTGTATCCAGATCATGTCTTTCCTCCCTCGTGGTGGGGTGACTCGCTGTTATTGAAACACCCTTCATGCTTTGCTTTATCCAGCTACCACTCCCAGGTTCGTCTCCACTGTGCAGATATGTCCTGCTACAACCAGTGCCTGCCCTGCGTGCCATGCCAGCCCTGCGGCCCGACCCCGCTGGCCAACAGCTGCAATGAGCCCTGTGTCAGGCAGTGCCAGGACTCCACCATCGTCATCCAGCCCTCCCCCGTGGTGGTGACCCTGCCCGGCCCCATCCTCAGCTCCTTCCCGCAGAGCACCGCCGTGGGCTCCTCCACCTCCGCCGCCGTCGGCAGCATCCTCAGCTCTGAGGGAGTGCCCATCTCCTCCGGGGGCTTTGGCCTCTCCGGCTTGGGCAGTCGCTACTGCGGCAGGAGGTGCCTCCCCTGCTAAAGCTGCCGGCGACGGCCCTGGGGAAGGGCCTCGGGGACCCACAAGATGCTACCGGACTGCGGACGGAGCATTGGGTTCTTGCTCTCAGAGCAGCTGAGCAACATCAGCACCCCTTCTAAAAGAATGGGGCCAGCCCAGGCTCTCTGAGATCACGGCCCACGGCTGCCCTCCCCTTCTTCCACTCTCTCCTTTCCCTCCCGTGTCCTTGTTGCCTTGTGCTGCCCGGGGCTGGGAGCCCCACAAAGCCAGCCTAGGGAGGCCCTGCTGGCCCTGCTCCCTCTGTGGGGCTTGTTGCAGATGGACACCTGCTGGGATCTCTGCCACAGCCGTGGTGCACATGCACCTCTCTGCCCCCGCTGAGCTTTTCCATGGAGACGGCACTCACACTGACCTCATTTACATCATTTCACACATTGAAGTTGTGCTGCATCCCGGCCCATGCCTCTGTGTCATCCTTTCCCCTGCAGAGGCTCTCCCAAGATGCCCAGGGAGACACATGGTGCACAGGACAGGTTTAGGGAAGGGGTTGTTAGGGATGGCTGTGCAGTGACTGTTGACACAGACCTGCTTTGAGTGTACTTAGTCACGCATCTGGTGGACATCCGATTGCTTTCCAAACTTCTTTGCCTGTCTGGGGCTGGATACAATCACCCAATGCAGTTTGATGGACGTAGCTCCCCCAAAGATGCTTTGAGCTCTCCCACCAAAGCATTCACTTCTCCACATTCCGCCAGCCCTGGGCCCTCAGACTTTCCTCCCCAAGGAAGCTCTCTGGCCTCCTCACCATGCTGTGCACCCTCAGCTGAACTCACACCACTTGGTCAAGGACGTTTGTGCGTTACAGCCCAAACCTCGACGCAGTGTTCTAGATGCCACCAGCCTGTTGGAGAATGGCTCAGAGACAAGGGTCCTGTGCCTTTAGCCAATAGATTGTAAGCCTGCATGCCTAAGTTGTGCCTTGTCATGTATTAAGAAAATCTTTGAACGAACGTTAGCGCAGGCTCTGCTCCTACAAAAAGAAAAAGGGGGAATTGTTGGAGAATGGCTCAGAGACAAGGGTCCTGAGCCCACCGAGCAATTGTATGATCAGAGCCTGCTCTAGCTGCTGATGCTGAGCCTCACTAGGGTTTGCCTGCAGCTGCTCGCAGCTGCTGATACATGAGGAATGTCAAGGACGCTTCAGCCCTGTGTACCGTGGTGTGTCGAAAACAGGTTAAGGGGAATTAGGAATAGTGGTCTGAGAAACCTAGTGTTATGATAACGGTGGTCTGAGAAACATTGTGTTACGGTACGGTCGTGTATTGAAAACAAGTCAACAGGAATCAGAAATAGTAGCATGAGAAACTTAGTGTTATGAGAAGCTTGTGCTGTAAGCTAACTGCAAGTATGCGGACCGTGCGAATACGACCTTTAGAGCTTAAGCCAATCAGCTAGTGACTAGTAGGCATAATAATTATCATTGTCTGTATAAATATATGTAACATGGACCAATAAAGACACACGTTGATTGATGCTCTATCACCCACACTGAACCCGTCTCGGCGTGTCGTTCGTCCGTGGCTCCGCACCAGCCAAGTGCTGAGCAGAGTGGGATCATTGCACCCATCGGTCTCCTGGCTACGGTGTGGCTCTGGTAGCTCAGGATGTTGATGAGAGTCCGTGGTGCCTGGGAACAGTGCTGGCAGTCACACCTCTTTTGATGGGGATACTGCAAAAGCACCTTTCCCCGGCCCTGCTTTGGGACTGTGCTTGTCAGGGGCTGAAGGACGTGTGGGGAGACAGGGCTGGCTGATCCCAAGCCAGCTGACATCTGGGGCTCTGGGTGCACATGTGTCATCTTGCCCAGCTGTGTCCTGCAGCACCTCAGCAGCTCCCCCTTCCTCCCCTGCAAGCCTCTCTGAAGCCTTTGCTGCTGGTCACCGCGCTGCTTTGGAGAGCTCCTGGACAGACCTTTGAGACACCCAGCCAGCACCTGCCCCGCGTCTCTCCCTCCCTCCCTCTCTCCAGAAACCTTCCCACGAAGACCCGGGCACAGACCGGCAAGGAGCAGGGCAAGGGGGACATTCACTGCCCGGGGGGCTGTGTGGGGTCCTGACCCCGGCAAGCACTAAGCACCCACCAGCTTCTCTGCTTCTAGTCGCTTCTCATTAGGCTCCACCTGCACAACTACACCCAGTCTCAGGTCCCCAGTATGGAAAAGACACGGGTCTCTTAGAGCAGGTCCAGAGAAGGGCCTCAAAAATGATGGGAGGGATACACCAACCCTCCTATGAAGAAATGCCTAGGGGCTTGGGTTTTTTCACTTGGGAGTAGAGAAGGCTCTGGTGAGACCTTCTTGCAGTCATTCAGAGATATAAACGGGACTTATAAGGAAGGCAAAGAGAGACTTTATCAAGGCCTGTAGTAAAAGAACAACGCTTTTACCGTCAAACAGGGTAGACGTAGATTGGACATAAGGAAGAAATTTATTTTGATGAAGGTGGCGAGACACTGGCAAATGTTGCCCAGAGAATGATGAGATGCCCCATCACTGGAAGTGATCAAAGTCACTTCTGACGGAGCTCTGAGTAATGAGATGTAGCGACAGATATCTCTGCCCAAGGCAGAGGGGTCAGACTAGATGGTCTTTAAAGGTCTCCTCCAACCAAAACCATTTTAGGATTGCATAATAATAATAAAACTCTGTGACAAGGCAGCCCACTGCACTGTGTCCCTCCCTTTCAGAATGCTGCGGTTAGGGTGGGTTGTCCTGGCATCTCCTGGGAAGCTAGAGCACATGCCTTGTCAGTACCACATTCCCGCCTGACACCTTGCATCACAGTGTTGTGCTTACTGAGGAAAAAGAAAAGGTGTGCACAACAAAGTGGATGGTATTCACTGAACTGCATAGGGTAATTCTGTTCAGTCCAAAATTGACAGAAACATTTAGAAATTAGAAAATCACCTGATACATGACTAAGCAGGCTTAGTGGAAGCCTGTGCTGGTAATCACGGATAAACATCGCCAACCGAGCCCCTCCCAAAAAACAACCCGAGAAATATAGCGCATCTTGGGAGAGTATCTGCAGGGGAAAGGATGCACAGAAACATGGGCTGGGATGCAGTAGAACTTTAATAAATTAAATGATGGAAAGAAAACAAAAACACGGGAAGGAAAAGAGAAAGTCAAAGAAGGGCAAGGCAAGCGTGTGCCATGTTCTCAGAGAGCCTGGGCTGGCCCCGTTCTTTTAGAAGGGGTGCTGATGTTGCTCAGCCGCTCTGAGAGCAAGAACCCAATGCTCCGTCCCCAGTCCGGTAGCATCTTGTGGGTCCCCGAGACCCTTCCCCAGGGCCGTCGCCGGCAGCTTTAGCAGGGGAGGCACCTCCTGCCGCAGTAGCGACTGCCCAAGCCGGAGAGGCCAAAGCCCCCGGAGGAGATGGGCACTCCCTCAGAGCTGAGGATGCTGCCGACGGCGGCGGAGGTGGAGGAGCCCACGGCGGTGCTCTGCGGGAAGGAGCTGAGGATGGGGCCGGGCAGGGTCACCACCACGGGGGAGGGCTGGATGGCGACGGTGGAGTCCTGGCACTGCCTGACACAGGACTCATTGCAGCTGTTGGCCAGCGGGGTCGGGCCGCAGGGCTGGCATGGCACGCAGGGCAGGCACTGGTTGTAGCAGGACATGTCTGGACGGTGGAGACAAACCTGGGAGTGGGATCAGTGGAAATCAACACACAAGGGGTGGTTGAAGAGCAGCCTGTACCCCAGCGTGAGGAATACCCTTACCCTCAGCTTAATAGAGCCAACCAAGGGCGACCATGACCACACTGGTCCCCACCTAGCCCATAGCTCAGGAGACACCTCAGCCAAGCCCCAACCTCTCCTTCTGCTCACTTCCCTCTCCCATAGCAGCAGCCTCAAGACCCAGCATAGGAGAAAGAGACAAGCTGTGCGCTGAGAAAACACAGAGGAGGACAAGGAGGAGGAACAGGAGGCGGAAGAGGACAAAGGCTCCAGACTCACCTTGTTCTCAAGGAGATGGAAGTGAGGGTAATGGATGAGAGAGTGAGGAGAAGGGCCTGCTTTTATACTGCTACTACACTGCCCCAGGCCTAGAGTCGCAGCACACGGGCGGTAATTTTCCAACAGACTCACCTCCAAAGCAAAATAGCCTACCTAGTGGCACAGGTTGTGCTTTGGTTTCCATCAACACTGTTGTTTCATTTCCTCATTTCTGACATCATCATTACACCGCTGAGGCTCCTTTGAAGTACCAGCAGGAGAGGCCCAAGGATTTCATGAGCCGGACCATGTCAGTGCAAGCAGAAGATGTGCCTCCGAGTACTGGAGGGGTCTGTGCAGGTGGAGGACATGGGTCTGAGGAAATCTGGTGAGTTAGTTTGCAAACCCCTCTGCAGGAAGGTAGGCCTCTCTTCCCAACAAAGCAGTCCTCCCTTTGGGTGCCCAAAAGCTCCTGTGACTGAGGTCCTCCCACTCTCCTCTAAACAGCATCCGCTTTGGTTGAACAATATGGATTCTGACCACTCAGAGACATAAAGGCCTGGCCACTTTTCCAAAACACGCTGATGGGCAAGTGATCCCCCCATTGAAATGTGGGTGTGCTGGCAAGGTCATGCTGAGGGCAGTGGCCGTTGGGGCTGCCTCGAGCAGTGTACTCAAATACAGCCCAATGCCTGAGAATAGTTTTCTAGGGCAGGGATGGAGCTGCCCTAGCTGCAGGGCAATTCAGCCCTGCGTGGGACACGGGCCTGCAGACAGCACGCACTCCTGGCTTGGCCTCACACCAAAAGGCTGACACGTGGCCCATCCAAAATTAGCATGACTCGCCATGGGTAGGGAGAGTCTATCCCAGGAAGCTTGCCTACTGAACACATTCCCTTGCCTTCCTGGGATGCGTCCCAGCCGTCTCCATGTCTGCAGGGCAGGGAAGTACATCGCCTACTTGATGTAGTCTGAGAGGTGGCTTTGTACCCAGGGCCCTTCTGAGCACATCCCCGCCCTGAGCATCCTCCAGCAGGTGGCTCTGCAGGGTCCCGACGGCCCTCACTCCTTGGGGAGTTGAGGGAAGTTTCCTTGCCTCTCCAGTGGTGCTGGGTTGTACTCCATGCCGAGGAGTCTTTTAGGTTACGGGAGGGGAGGTGTGATGTAGCCCTAATGTCGGGAAAAGACATACCACGCGGCACACAATCATGAGTCCAAGCCCGTGGAGGGGAGTTTTCTGAAGCCCTTCCTTTCCCTCCCCCGGGGTATTCAGGAGAGCTCCTCACCGCAGCCCTGTCTCTTTGGACAGGAAGATGAGGCCTGTGTGTGTGTGTGTCTGTTCCCTCCCACCCTCCAAGTCTCTCCCCAAGGCTGACTCTTCCCCCAGGGCCAGATTGTCCCAGAGGAGGTTCTTCCTTTCCCCAGGCAGGACTTGACATTCTTTCTTTGTAATGCCATGAGGCTTCTGTGGGACCAGTCTCCCGGCCCCTCTCCTTCTACCTCTATGGCAGCCCTGCCCTGGGGCACATCAACTGGTATGAATGGGTTGACTTTTCTCAGGCAGTCCTTGATTCGATGGCCACCCATGGCTGGGAGGTCTCTCCCTCCTTCCTTCAGCTCTTCCAGAGGGCACAGCAGCCTGGGAGACATTCTAGGTGAACACTGAAAGAGTCAAGGTGTTGACTCCCACCAGCCTACTGTCTCTCTACTCTTTGTGAAATCAGATGTCCCAGCCAGCTGTTGGCCCACACTTTCCTCCATCAGTCTTTGGCTACATTTGTAGGGCTCAATGTTTGCCTGAAGTTTCTTGCCTGTTGCACTCGATACCTCTTGCAAGACTCAAGGCAGGATGAGCTCTAGCTTTCCTAACATGATCGCAACATGCCTACTTATTCTTTCCACATTTGAAGCTCACCCCTCCTCCCAAATAGAGGATGTGGCTTGTTCTTCCTGGTGCTCCACCAGGAGCAAAACGCTTACCCAGTTCGGATCTCCTGAAATGCCTGTTTGATTTCTGACTATTGGGATGGACCCTTCTTGCACTTGGACCATGAGGTGCCTAAGGTGCTGCCAGCTCTTCTGAGCTCCTTTGCACTTCACAGCCACCTCCATGGCATACTACATACCAGCTGTCTGAATAGGCCAAATCTGGCATGCCTGAAGTCCAGGGGCTGTACTCTGATGCTCGCTTTCCTTCCTCCCTTCAGGTCTTGAATTCCACTGTTTCTCACGTGCAAGAGCCAAGGCTGCCCTTGATTCCAAAGTTCCAAATCATTCCTTCCCTCGTGGGGGCAGCTGTGCCTCACCCGTCTTTGGCCCAGGACAGAATCGCAGGATCCTTCAGGTTGGAAGGGACCTCTGGAGATCGTCTAGTCCAAACGTCCCTGCTCAAAGCAGGGTCAGCCCCTGGACGATGCTGAGGGCCATGTCCTCTCAAGCTCTGAACACCTCCAAGGATGAGGACTCCGTAACCTGTTCAGGCAATCCCAGATGGTGCTTTCTCGCTCTCACCCTAACAGAGTCTTTTCTCGTCTTTTCGTGGAATCTCCCGTATTGCAGTATGTGCCTCTTACCGCTTGTCCCTTCAGACGATAGGACTCGGGACGGTCTGGCACCATGATCGTGACTCTCTCCCATCAGCTTTTTTAACCCAGTGCTACGAAGCGTGTTCCGGGGCCTTCTCTCCTTCAGGGTGAACAACCAAGACGTCTCGCAGCCCCTCCTGCCTCAGGGGCTCCAGTTGCTTCGTGGGCTCTGTGGCCCTTTGCTGGACTCATGCCAGCATGGCTGTGACTCCCTCGTACTGAGCAGCCACGAACTGGACAGAAATTGTGCTTTCAACAGTGCTTAGCCAAGAAGACGGCTCACCTGCTGCAGTATGATCGCAACAATCTTCTTAATGCAGACCAGGACACTGTCAGATGCCATTTCTCCGGAGGTCCAGGCTGCCTCATGGTGTCCTCCGGGACCCATGTCCTCTGCTGCAAAGCTGTTGAGCAGTCCACCAGGCCCGGCCTGTACTGGTGCAGGAAATTCTTCCTCCCCCACTGCACGACATTGCATAGAGGGCTTAAGCAGTACTGGCCCCTGTCTAGACCCCTACGGGGCACCAGGAGACAGTGGCCACCAGCTGGACTTTGTGCCACTCGTCACAACCCATGGAGACAAGCAGCCCTGCCAGATTTCCATCCCCAGCACTGCCATCTTCCCCAGACTCTATTTTGACACTTCGCCTGCAAGGATTCTCACAGCAGACAGACTCAAAGGCCAGCTTTAGATGAGGTCGGTAACATTTGCTGCACTTCCCACATGCACTGGAGCCCCGCACAGCATCAGAGAAGGCCAGGAGGTTGGTCAGGCCTGCTTTCCCCTCCATAAATCCATGCTGACCACTCACAATCCCCTTCTTGTCCTTTCATCTTGGGAAAGGGCTTCCAGGATGATTTGCTACATCACCTTTGCAGGGATGGGGGTGAGGATGACTGGTCTGTAATTCCCGGGAGCCTCCTTCGTGCACTTCTTGAAGACAGGCAGCCCACTGGCTTTCTTCCAGCCCTCACATGCATTCCCTGACTGCTGTGGCTTTCAAAGGGAGTTGAGAGTGGCCTTGTCGTGACACTAACCAACTCCCTTGGGTGCATGACTTCTGGTTCCTCGCACTCCTGTCAGTCCAAGCTCATTCAATGCTCCCACACCTGACCCTCCTCTACAGCAGGCATGTCTTCCCTGCTCCAGACTTTCCAAGGAATGTCAGGAGCCTGATCTCTCAACGGCAAATGCTGCCACTAAAGACCAAGGCCAAGAACTCTTGCACTACCTCCACCATCACTATAAAGCCTGTCCGGAGGGAAGCTGCTCTGTGGAGCACCGAGGCTGCCTTTCACCAAGCCTGCTTTTGGTGCTGACCGGCCTGGAAGAAAAACTTCTTCTTGCCCTCCACATGTTTTCCCTGAACCAATGCCACATGGACCCCTCCGGCACTTCAGAAGCACCTCATGCTAGCAGTGAAACAACCCTCTCCAGGAAATCCTTGGGCCTCTCATCCTCCCACATGAAAGGAGCCAGCATGGCAGGCCAGGCATGCCAGAGATGAGGAAATGAAATGTCAGTGGTGACGGAAGCCAAAACACGAACTGTGCCATCAGGTAGGATATTCTGCTCTGGAGGTGAGTCTGTTGGAAAATTACTGCCTGGGTGCAGCGACTGTGGTCCTGGGGCATTTCTGGAGCAGTATAAAAGCGGGCCCATCTCCTCACTCTCTCATTCACTCTTCTCACCTCCACCTCCTTGGGAACAAGGTGACTCTGAAGCCCTTTCTTTTCTCCCTCCTCATCTTCCTCGTTCCTCTCTTATCTGGGTTGAGGGGTTGCTTACCAGGGAAGAGGGAGGTGGGGACAAGGTGTGGCATGGAGAGAGACGGAGGTTTGGCTACAGTGAGCCTTAAATTAGGCAGGGACTTCACTGGAATTGGTCGGTTTTGGCAGGGGACTTTTGAACCGGTGGGAAGGAGAAACCCACGGGCCTCCCTACAGTCCTCCCACCTTTTCTCACCACTTCTTGATTTTTCCTTTCTCCTGGTGGAGTGACTCGTTGTTGTCCAAACACACCTTGTGCTATGTTTTCCCTTGATCCTGCTGCCAGGTTCATCTCCACTGTCGAGACATGTCCTGCTACAACCAGTGCCTGCCCTGCGTGCCATGCCGGCCCTGCGGCCCGACCCCACTGGCCAACAGCTGCAATGAGCCCTGTGTCAGGCAGTGCCAGGACTCCACCGTCGTCATCCAGCCCTCCCCCGTGGTGGTGACCCTGCCCGGCCCCATCCTCAGCTCCTTCCCGCAGAGCACCGCCGTGGGCTCCTCCACCTCCGCCGCCGTCGGCAGCATCCTCAGCTCTGAGGGAGTGCCCATCTCCTCCGGGGGCTTTGGCCTCTCCGGCTTGGGCAGTCGCTACTGCGGCAGGAGGTGCCTCCCCTGCTAAAGCTGCCGGCGACGGCCCTGGGGAAGGGCCTCGGGGACCCACAAGATGCTACCAGACTGGGGATGGAGCATTGGGTTCTTGCTCTCAGAGTGGCTGAGCAAAATCAGCACTTCCTCTAAAAGAATGGGGCCAGCCCAGGCTCTCTGAAATCACGGCCCACAGCTGCCCTCCCCTTCTTCCACTCTCTCCTTTCCCTCCCGTGTCCTTGTTGCCTTGTGCTGCCCGGGGCTGGGAGCCCCACAAAGCCAGCCTAGGGAGGCCCTGCTGGCCCTGCTCCCTCTGTGGGGCTTGTTGCAGATGGACACCTGCTGGGATCTCTGCCACAGCCGTGGTGCACATGCACCTCTCTGCCCCCGCTGCGCTTTTCCATGGAGACGGCACTCACACTGAACTCGTTTACTTCATTTCACACATTAAAGTTGTGCTGCATCCCAGCCCATGCCTCTGTGTCATCCTTTCCCCTGCAGAGGCTCTCCCAAGATGCCCAGGGAGACACATGGTGCACAGGACAGGTTTAGGGAAGGGGTTGTTAGGGGTGGCTGTGCAGTGACTGTTGACACAGACCTGCTTTGAGTGTACTTAGTCACGCATCTGGTGGACATCCGATTGCTTTCCAAACTTCTCTGCCTGTCTGGGGCTGGATACAATCACCCAATGCAGTTTGATGGACGTAGCTCCCCCAAAGATGCTTTGAGCTCTCCCACCAAAGCATTCACTTCACATTCCGCCAGCCCTGGGCCCTCAGACTTTCCTCCCCAAGGAAGCTCTCTGGCCTCCTCACCATGCTGTGCACCCTCAGCTGAACTCACACCACTTGGTCAAGGACGTTTGTGCGTTACAGCCCAAACCTCGACGCAGTGTTCTAGATGCCACCAGCCAAGTGCTGAGCAGAGTGGGATCATTGTACCAATCGGTCTCCTGGCTACGGTGTGGCTCTGGTAGCTCAGGATGTTGATGAGAGTCCGTGGTGCCTGGGAACAGTGCTGGCAGTCACACCTCTTTTGATGGGGATACTGCAAAAGCACCTTTCCCCGGCCCTGCTTTGGGACTGTGCTTGTCAGGGGCTGAAGGACGTGTGGGGAGACAGGGCTGGCTGATCCCAAGCCAGCTGACATCTGGGGCTCTGGGTGCACATGTGTCATCTTGCCCAGCTGTGTCCTGCAGCACCTCAGCAGCTCCCCCTTCCTCCCCTGCAAGCCTCTCTGAAGCCTTTGCTGCTGGTCACCGCGCTGCTTTGGAGAGCTCCTGGACAGACCTTTGAGACACCCAGCCAGCACCTGCCCCGCGTCTCTCCCTCCCTCCCTCTCTCCAGAAACCTTCCCACGAAGACCCGGGCACAGACCGGCAAGGAGCAGGGCAAGGGGGACATTCACTGCCCGGGGGGCTGTGTGGGGTCCTGACCCCGGCAAGCACTAAGCACCCACCAGCTTCTCTGCTTCTAGTCCCTTCACATTAGGCTCCACCTGCACAACTACACCCAGTCTCAGGTCCCCAGTATGGAAAAGACACGGGCCTCTTAGAGCAGGTCCAGAGAAGGGCCTCAAAAATGATGGGAGGGATACACCAACCCTCCTATGAAGAAATGCCTAGGGGCTTGGGTTTTTTCACTTGGGAGTAGAGAAGGCTCTGGTGAGACCTTCTTGCAGTCATTCAGAGATATAAACGGGACTTATAAGGAAGGCAAAGAGAGACTTTATCAAGGCCTGTAGTAAAAGAACAACGCTTTTACCGTCAAACAGGGTAGACGTAGATTGGACATAAGGAAGAAATTTATTTTGATGAAGGTGGCGAGACACTGGCAAATGTTGCCCAGAGAATGATGAGATGCCCCATCACTGGAAGTGATCAAAGTCACTTCTGACGGAGCTCTGAGTAATGAGATGTAGCGACAGATATCTCTGCCCAAGGCAGAGGGGTCAGACTAGATGGTCTTTAAAGGTCTCCTCCAACCAAAACCATTTTAGGATTGCATAATAATAATAATAAAACTCTGTGACAAGGCAGCCCACTGCACTGTGTCCCTCCCTTTCAGAATGCTGCGGTTAGGGTGGGTTGTCCTGGCATCTCCTGGGAAGCTAGAGCACATGCCTTGTCAGTACCACATTCCCGCCTGACACCTTGCATCACAGTGTTGAGCTTACTGAGGAAAAAGAAAAGGTGTGCACAACAAAGTGGATGGTATTCACTGAACTGCATAGGGTAATTCTGTTCAGTCCAAAATTGACAGAAACATTTAGAAATTAGAAAATCACCTGATACATGACTAAGCAGGCTTAGTGGAAGCCTGTGCTGGTAATCACGGATAAACATCGCCAACCGAGCCCCTCCCAAAAAACAACCCGAGAAATATAGCGCATCTTGGGAGAGTATCTGCAGGGGAAAGGATGCACAGAAACATGGGCTGGGATGCAGTAGAACTTTAATAAATTAAATGATGGAAAGAAAACAAAAACACGGGAAGGAAAAGAGAAAGTCAAAGAAGGGCAAGGCAAGCGTGTGCCATGTTCTCAGAGAGCCTGGGCTGGCCCCGTTCTTTTAGAAGGGGTGCTGATGTTGCTCAGCCGCTCTGAGAGCAAGAACCCAATGCTCCGTCCGCAGTCCGGTAGCATCTTGTGGGTCCCCGAGGCCCTTCCCCAGGGCCGTCGCTGGCAGCTTTAGCAGGGGAGGCACCTCCTGCCGCAGTAGCGACTGCCCAAGCCGGAGAGGCCAAAGCCCCCGGAGGAGATGGGCACTCCCTCAGAGCTGAGGATGCTGCCGACGGCGGCGGAGGTGGAGGAGCCCACGGCGGTGCTCTGCGGGAAGGAGCTGAGGATGGGGCCGGGCAGGGTCACCACCACGGGGGAGGGCTGGATGACGACGGTGGAGTCCTGGCACTGCCTGACACAGGACTCATTACAGCTGTTGGCCAGCGGGGTCGGGCCGCAGGGCTGGCATGGCACGCAGGGCAGGCACTGGTTGTAGCAGGACATGTCTGGACGATGGAGTCGAACCTGGGAGTGGGATCAGTGGAAATCAACACACAAGGGGTGGTTGAAGAGCAGCCTGTTCCCCAGCGTGAGGAATACCCTTACCCTCAGCTTAATAGAGCCAACCAAGGGCGACCATGACCACACTGGTCCCCACCTAGCCCATAGCTCAGGAGACACCTCAGCCAAGCCCCAACCTCTCCTTCTGCTCACTTCCCTCTCCCATAGCAGCAGCCTCAAGACCCAGCATAGGAGAAAGAGACAAGCTGTGCGCTGAGAAAACACAGAGGAGGACAAGGAGGAGGAACAGGAGGCGGAAGAGGACAAAGGGCTCCAGACTCACCTTGTTCTCAAGGAGATGGAAGTGAGGGTAATGGATGAGAGAGTGAGGAGAAGGGCCTGCTTTTATACTGCTACTACACTGCCCCAGGCCTAGAGTTGCAGCACACGGGCGGTAATTTTCCAACAGACTCACCTCCAAAGCAAAATAGCCTACCTAGTGGCACAGGTTGTGCTTTGGTTTCCATCAACACTGTTGTTTCATTTCCTCATTTCTGACATCATCATTACACCGCTGAGGCTCCTTTGAAGTACCAGCAGGAGAGGCCCAAGGATTTCATGAGCCGGACCATGTCAGTGCAAGCAGAAGATGTGCCTCCGAGTACTGGAGGGGTCTGTGCAGGTGGAGGACATGGGTCTGAGGAAATCTGGTGAGTTAGTTTGCAAACCCCTCTGCAGGAAGGTAGGCCTCTCTTCCCAACAAAGCAGTCCTCCCTTTGGGTGCCCAAAAGCTCCTGTGACTGAGGTCCTCCCACTCTCCTCTAAACACCATCCGCTTTGGTTGAACAATATGGATTCTGACCACTCAGAGACATAAAGGCCTGGCCACTTTTCCAAAACACGCTGATGGGCAAGTGATCCCCCCATTGAAATGTGGGTGTGCTGGCAAGGTCATGCTGAGGGCAGTGGCCGTTGGGGCTGCCTCGAGCAGTGTACTCAAATACAGCCCAATGCCTGAGAATAGTTTTCTAGGGCAGGGATGGAGCTGCCCTGGCTGCAGGGCAATTCAGCCCTGCGTGGGACACGGGCCTGCAGACAGCACGCACTCCTGGCTTGGCCTCACACCAAAAGGCTGACACGTGGCCCATCCAAAATTAGCATGACTCGCCATGGGTAGGGAGAGTCTATCCCAGGAAGCTTGCCTACTGAACACATTCCCTTGCCTTCCTGGGATGCGTCCCAGCCGTCTCCATGTCTGCAGGGCAGGGAAGTACATCGCCTACTTGATGTAGTCTGAGAGGTGGCTTTGTACCCAGGGCCCTTCTGAGCACATCCCCGCCCTGAGCATCCTCCAGCAGGTGGCTCTGCAGGGTCCCGACGGCCCTCACTCCTTGGGGAGTTGAGGGAAGTTTCCTTGCCTCTCCAGTGGTGCTGGGTTGTACTCCATGCCGAGGAGTCTTTTAGGTTACGGGAGGGGAGGTGTGATGTAGCCCTAATGTCGGGAAAAGACATACCACGCGGCACACAATCATGAGTCCAAGCCCGTGGAGGGGAGTTTTCTGAAGCCCTTCCTTTCCCTCCCCCGGGGTATTCAGGAGAGCTCCTCACCGCAGCCCTGTCTCTTTGGACAGGAAGATGAGGCCTGTGTGTGTGTGTGTCTGTTCCCTCCCACCCTCCAAGTCTCTCCCCAAGGCTGACTCTTCCCCCAGGGCCAGATTGTCCCAGAGGAGGTTCTTCCTTTCCCCAGGCAGGACTTGACATTCTTTCTTTGTAATGCCATGAGGCTTCTGTGGGACCAGTCTCCCGGCCCCTCTCCTTCTACCTCTATGGCAGCCCTGCCCTGGGGCACATCAACTGGTATGAATGGGTTGACTTTTCTCAGGCAGTCCTTGATTCGATGGCCACCCATGGCTGGGAGGTCTCTCCCTCCTTCCTTCAGCTCTTCCAGAGGGCACAGCAGCCTGGGAGACATTCTAGGTGAACACTGAAAGAGTCAAGGTGTTGACTCCCACCAGCCTACTGTCTCTCTACTCTTTGTGAAATCAGATGTCCCAGCCAGCTGTTGGCCCACACTTTCCTCCATCAGTCTTTGGCTACATTTGTAGGGCTCAATGTTTGCCTGAAGTTTCTTGCCTGTTGCACTCGATACCTCTTGCAAGACTCAAGGCAGGATGAGCTCTAGCTTTCCTAACATGATCGCAACATGCCTACTTATTCTTTCCACATTTGAAGCTCACCCCTCCTCCCAAATAGAGGATGTGGCTTGTTCTTCCTGGTGCTCCACCAGGAGCAAAACGCTTACCCAGTTCGGATCTCCTGAAATGCCTGTTTGATTTCTGACTATTGGGATGGACCCTTCTTGCACTTGGACCATGAGGTGCCTAAGGTGCTGCCAGCTCTTCTGAGCTCCTTTGCACTTCACAGCCACCTCCATGGCATACTACATACCAGCTGTCTGAATAGGCCAAATCTGGCATGCCTGAAGTCCAGGGGCTGTACTCTGATGCTCGCTTTCCTTCCTCCCTTCAGGTCTTGAATTCCACTGTTTCTCACGTGCAAGAGCCAAGGCTGCCCTTGATTCCAAAGTTCCAAATCATTCCTTCCCTCGTGGGGGCAGCTGTGCCTCACCCGTCTTTGGCCCAGGACAGAATCGCAGGATCCTTCAGGTTGGAAGGGACCTCTGGAGATCGTCTAGTCCAAACGTCCCTGCTCAAAGCAGGGTCAGCCCCTGGACGATGCTGAGGGCCATGTCCTCTCAAGCTCTGAACACCTCCAAGGATGAGGACTCCGTAACCTGTTCAGGCAATCCCAGATGGTGCTTTCTCGCTCTCACCCTAACAGAGTCTTTTCTCGTCTTTTCGTGGAATCTCCCGTATTGCAGTATGTGCCTCTTACCGCTTGTCCCTTCAGACGATAGGACTCGGGACAGTCTGGCACCATGATCGTGACTCTCTCCCATCAGCTTTTTTAACCCAGTGCTACGAAGCGTGTTCCGGGGCCTTCTCTCCTTCAGGGTGAACAACCAAGACCTCTCGCAGCCCCTCCTGCCTCAGGGGCTCCAGTTGCTTCGTGGGCTCTGTGGCCCTTTGCTGGACTCATGCCAGCATGGCTGTGACTCCCTCGTACTGAGCAGCCACGAACTGGACAGAAATTGTGCTTTCAACAGTGCTTAGCCAAGAAGACGGCTCACCTGCTGCAGTATGATCGCAACAATCTTCTTAATGCAGACCAGGACACTGTCAGATGCCATTTCTCCGGAGGTCCAGGCTGCCTCATGGTGTCCTCCGGGACCCATGTCCTCTGCTGCAAAGCTGTTGAGCAGTCCACCAGGCCCGGCCTGTACTGGTGCAGGAAATTCTTCCTCCCCCACTGCATGACATTGCATAGAGGGCTTAAGCAGTACTGGCCCCTGTCTAGACCCCTACGGGGCACCAGGAGACAGTGGCCACCAGCTGGACTTTGTGCCACTCGTCACAACCCATGGAGACAAGCAGCCCTGCCAGATTTCCATCCCCAGCACTGCCATCTTCCCCAGACTCTATTTTGACACTTCGCCTGCAAGGATTCTCACAGCAGACAGACTCAAAGGCCAGCTTTAGATGAGGTCGGTAACATTTGCTGCACTTCCCACATGCACTGGAGCCCCGCACAGCATCAGAGAAGGCCAGGAGGTTGGTCAGGCCTGCTTTCCCCTCCATAAATCCATGCTGACCACTCACAATCCCCTTCTTGTCCTTTCATCTTGGGAAAGGGCTTCCAGGATGATTTGCTACATCACCTTTGCAGGGATGGGGGTGAGGATGACTGGTCTGTAATTCCCGGGAGCCTCCTTCGTGCACTTCTTGAAGACAGGCAGCCCACTGGCTTTCTTCCAGCCCTCACATGCATTCCCTGACTGCTGTGGCTTTCAAAGGGAGTTGAGAGTGGCCTTGTCGTGACACTAACCAACTCCCTTGGGTGCATGACTTCTGGTTCCTCGCACTCCTGTCAGTCCAAGCTCATTCAATGCTCCCACACCTGACCATCCTCTACAGCAGGCATGTCTTCCCTGCTCCAGACTTTCCAAGGAATGTCAGGAGCCTGATCTCTCAACGGCAAATGCTGCCAGTAAAGACCAAGGCCAAGAACTCTTGGACTACCTCCACCATCACTATAACGCCTGTCCGGAGGGAAGCTGCTCTGTGGAGCACCTAGGCTGCCTTTCACCAAGCCTGCTTTTGGTGCTGACCGGCCTGGAAGAAAAACTTCTTCTTGCCCTCCACATCTTGTCCCAGAACCAATGTCACATGGACCCCTCCGGCACTTCAGAAACACCTCGTGCCCGCAGTGAAACAACCCTCTCCAGGAAATCCTTGGGCCTCTCATCCTCCCACATGAAAGGAGCCAGCATGGCAGGCCAGGCATGCCAGAGATGAGGAAATGAAATGTCAGTGGTGACGGAAGCCAAAACACGAACTGTGCCATCAGGTAGGATATTCTGCTCTGGAGGTGAGTCTGTTGGAAAATTACTGCCTGGGTGCAGCGACTGTGGTCCTGGGGCATTTCTGGAGCAGTATAAAAGCGGGCCCATCTCCTCACTCTCTCATTCACTCTTCTCACCTCCACCTCCTTGGGAACAAAGTGACTCTGAAGCCCTTTCTTTTCTCCCTCCTCATCTTCCTCGTTCCTCTCTTATCTGGGTTGAGGGGTTGCTTACCAGGGAAGAGGGAGGTGGGGACAAGGTGTGGCATGGAGAGAGACGGAGGTTTGGCTACAGTGAGCCTTAAATTAGGCAGGGACTTCACTGGAATTGGTCGGTTTTGGCAGGGGACTTTTGAACCGGTGGGAAGGAGAAACCCACGGGCCTCCCTACAGTCCTCCCACCTTTTCTCACCACTTCTTGATTTTTCCTTTCTCCTGGTGGAGTGACTCGTTGTTGTCCAAACACACCTTGTGCTATGTTTTCCCTTGATCCTGCTGCCAGGTTCATCTCCACTGTCGAGACATGTCCTGCTACAACCAGTGCCTGCCCTGCGTGCCATGCCGGCCCTGCGGCCCGACCCCACTGGCCAACAGCTGCAATGAGCCCTGTGTCAGGCAGTGCCAGGACTCCACCGTCGTCATCCAGCCCTCCCCCGTGGTGGTGACCCTGCCCGGCCCCATCCTCAGCTCCTTCCCGCAGAGCACCGCCGTGGGCTCCTCCACCTCCGCCGCCGTCGGCAGCATCCTCAGCTCTGAGGGAGTGCCCATCTCCTCCGGGGGCTTTGGCCTCTCCGGCTTGGGCAGTCGCTACTGCGGCAGGAGGTGCCTCCCCTGCTAAAGCTGCCGGCGACGGCCCTGGGGAAGGGCCTTGGGGACCCACAAGATGCTACCAGACTGGGGATGGAGCATTGGGTTCTTGCTCTCAGAGTGGCTGAGCAAAATCAGCACTTCCTCTAAAAGAATGGGGCCAGCCCAGGCTCTCTGAAATCACGGCCCACAGCTGCCCTCCCCTTCTTCCACTCTCTCCTTTCCCTCCCGTGTCCTTGTTGCCTTGTGCTGCCCGGGGCTGGGAGCCCCACAAAGCCAGCCTAGGGAGGCCCTGCTGGCCCTGCTCCCTCTGTGGGGCTTGTTGCAGATGGACACCTGCTGGGATCTCTGCCACAGCCGTGGTGCACATGCACCTCTCTGTCCCCGCTGCGCTTTTCCATGGAGATGGCACTCACACTGACCTCGTTTACATCATTTCACACATTAAAGTTGTGCTGCATCCCAGCCCATGCCTCTGTGTCATCCTTTCCCCTGCAGAGGCTCTCCCAAGATGCCCAGGGAGACACATGGTGCACAGGACAGGTTTAGGGAAGGGGTTGTTAGGGGTGGCTGTGCAGTGACTGTTGACACAGACCTGCTTTGAGTGTACTTAGTCACGCATCTGGTGGACATCCGATTGCTTTCCAAACTTCTCTGCCTGTCTGGGGCTGGATACAATCACCCAATGCAGTTTGATGGACGTAGCTCCCCCAAAGATGCTTTGAGCTCTCCCACCAAAGCATTCACTTCACATTCCGCCAGCCCTGGGCCCTCAGACTTTCCTCCCCAAGGAAGCTCTCTGGCCTCCTCACCATGCTGTGCACCCTCAGCTGAACTCACACCACTTGGTCAAGGACGTTTGTGCGTTACAGCCCAAACCTCGACGCAGTGTTCTAGATGCCACCAGCCAAGTGCTGAGCAGAGTGGGATCATTGTACCAATCGGTCTCCTGGCTACGGTGTGGCTCTGGTAGCTCAGGATGTTGATGAGAGTCCGTGGTGCCTGGGAACAGTGCTGGCAGTCACACCTCTTTTGATGGGGATACTGCAAAAGCACCTTTCCCCGGCCCTGCTTTGGGACTGTGCTTGTCAGGGGCTGAAGGACGTGTGGGGAGACAGGGCTGGCTGATCCCAAGCCAGCTGACATCTGGGGCTCTGGGTGCACATGTGTCATCTTGCCCAGCTGTGTCCTGCAGCACCTCAGCAGCTCCCCCTTCCTCCCCTGCAAGCCTCTCTGAAGCCTTTGCTGCTGGTCACCGCGCTGCTTTGGAGAGCTCCTGGACAGACCTTTGAGACACCCAGCCAGCACCTGCCCCGCGTCTCTCCCTCCCTCCCTCTCTCCAGAAACCTTCCCACGAAGACCCGGGCACAGACCGGCAAGGAGCAGGGCAAGGGGGACATTCACTGCCCGGGGGGCTGTGTGGGGTCCTGACCCCGGCAAGCACTAAGCACCCACCAGCTTCTCTGCTTCTAGTCCCTTCACATTAGGCTCCACCTGCACAACTACACCCAGTCTCAGGTCCCCAGTATGGAAAAGACACGGGCCTCTTAGAGCAGGTCCAGAGAAGGGCCTCAAAAATGATGGGAGGGATACACCAACCCTCCTATGAAGAAATGCCTAGGGGCTTGGGTTTTTTCACTTGGGAGTAGAGAAGGCTCTGGTGAGACCTTCTTGCAGTCATTCAGAGATATAAACGGGACTTATAAGGAAGGCAAAGAGAGACTTTATCAAGGCCTGTAGTAAAAGAACAACGCTTTTACCGTCAAACAGGGTAGACGTAGATTGGACATAAGGAAGAAATTTATTTTGATGAAGGTGGCGAGACACTGGCAAATGTTGCCCAGAGAATGATGAGATGCCCCATCACTGGAAGTGATCAAAGTCACTTCTGACGGAGCTCTGAGTAATGAGATGTAGCGACAGATATCTCTGCCCAAGGCAGAGGGGTCAGACTAGATGGTCTTTAAAGGTCTCCTCCAACCAAAACCATTTTAGGATTGCATAATAATAATAATAAAACTCTGTGACAAGGCAGCCCACTGCACTGTGTCCCTCCCTTTCAGAATGCTGCGGTTAGGGTGGGTTGTCCTGGCATCTCCTGGGAAGCTAGAGCACATGCCTTGTCAGTACCACATTCCCGCCTGACACCTTGCATCACAGTGTTGAGCTTACTGAGGAAAAAGAAAAGGTGTGCACAACAAAGTGGATGGTATTCACTGAACTGCATAGGGTAATTCTGTTCAGTCCAAAATTGACAGAAACATTTAGAAATTAGAAAATCACCTGATACATGACTAAGCAGGCTTAGTGGAAGCCTGTGCTGGTAATCACGGATAAACATCGCCAACCGAGCCCCTCCCAAAAAACAACCCGAGAAATATAGCGCATCTTGGGAGAGTATCTGCAGGGGAAAGGATGCACAGAAACATGGGCTGGGATGCAGTAGAACTTTAATAAATTAAATGATGGAAAGAAAACAAAAACACGGGAAGGAAAAGAGAAAGTCAAAGAAGGGCAAGGCAAGCGTGTGCCATGTTCTCAGAGAGCCTGGGCTGGCCCCGTTCTTTTAGAAGGGGTGCTGATGTTGCTCAGCCGCTCTGAGAGCAAGAACCCAATGCTCCGTCCGCAGTCCGGTAGCATCTTGTGGGTCCCCGAGGCCCTTCCCCAGGGCCGTCGCTGGCAGCTTTAGCAGGGGAGGCACCTCCTGCCGCAGTAGCGACTGCCCAAGCCGGAGAGGCCAAAGCCCCCGGAGGAGATGGGCACTCCCTCAGAGCTGAGGATGCTGCCGACGGCGGCGGAGGTGGAGGAGCCCACGGCGGTGCTCTGCGGGAAGGAGCTGAGGATGGGGCCGGGCAGGGTCACCACCACGGGGGAGGGCTGGATGACGACGGTGGAGTCCTGGCACTGCCTGACACAGGACTCATTACAGCTGTTGGCCAGCGGGGTCGGGCCGCAGGGCTGGCATGGCACGCAGGGCAGGCACTGGTTGTAGCAGGACATGTCTGGACGATGGAGTCGAACCTGGGAGTGGGATCAGTGGAAATCAACACACAAGGGGTGGTTGAAGAGCAGCCTGTTCCCCAGCGTGAGGAATACCCTTACCCTCAGCTTAATAGAGCCAACCAAGGGCGACCATGACCACACTGGTCCCCACCTAGCCCATAGCTCAGGAGACACCTCAGCCAAGCCCCAACCTCTCCTTCTGCTCACTTCCCTCTCCCATAGCAGCAGCCTCAAGACCCAGCATAGGAGAAAGAGACAAGCTGTGCGCTGAGAAAACACAGAGGAGGACAAGGAGGAGGAACAGGAGGCGGAAGAGGACAAAGGGCTCCAGACTCACCTTGTTCTCAAGGAGATGGAAGTGAGGGTAATGGATGAGAGAGTGAGGAGAAGGGCCTGCTTTTATACTGCTACTACACTGCCCCAGGCCTAGAGTTGCAGCACACGGGCGGTAATTTTCCAACAGACTCACCTCCAAAGCAAAATAGCCTACCTAGTGGCACAGGTTGTGCTTTGGTTTCCATCAACACTGTTGTTTCATTTCCTCATTTCTGACATCATCATTACACCGCTGAGGCTCCTTTGAAGTACCAGCAGGAGAGGCCCAAGGATTTCATGAGCCGGACCATGTCAGTGCAAGCAGAAGATGTGCCTCCGAGTACTGGAGGGGTCTGTGCAGGTGGAGGACATGGGTCTGAGGAAATCTGGTGAGTTAGTTTGCAAACCCCTCTGCAGGAAGGTAGGCCTCTCTTCCCAACAAAGCAGTCCTCCCTTTGGGTGCCCAAAAGCTCCTGTGACTGAGGTCCTCCCACTCTCCTCTAAACACCATCCGCTTTGGTTGAACAATATGGATTCTGACCACTCAGAGACATAAAGGCCTGGCCACTTTTCCAAAACACGCTGATGGGCAAGTGATCCCCCCATTGAAATGTGGGTGTGCTGGCAAGGTCATGCTGAGGGCAGTGGCCGTTGGGGCTGCCTCGAGCAGTGTACTCAAATACAGCCCAATGCCTGAGAATAGTTTTCTAGGGCAGGGATGGAGCTGCCCTGGCTGCAGGGCAATTCAGCCCTGCGTGGGACACGGGCCTGCAGACAGCACGCACTCCTGGCTTGGCCTCACACCAAAAGGCTGACACGTGGCCCATCCAAAATTAGCATGACTCGCCATGGGTAGGGAGAGTCTATCCCAGGAAGCTTGCCTACTGAACACATTCCCTTGCCTTCCTGGGATGCGTCCCAGCCGTCTCCATGTCTGCAGGGCAGGGAAGTACATCGCCTACTTGATGTAGTCTGAGAGGTGGCTTTGTACCCAGGGCCCTTCTGAGCACATCCCCGCCCTGAGCATCCTCCAGCAGGTGGCTCTGCAGGGTCCCGACGGCCCTCACTCCTTGGGGAGTTGAGGGAAGTTTCCTTGCCTCTCCAGTGGTGCTGGGTTGTACTCCATGCCGAGGAGTCTTTTAGGTTACGGGAGGGGAGGTGTGATGTAGCCCTAATGTCGGGAAAAGACATACCACGCGGCACACAATCATGAGTCCAAGCCCGTGGAGGGGAGTTTTCTGAAGCCCTTCCTTTCCCTCCCCCGGGGTATTCAGGAGAGCTCCTCACCGCAGCCCTGTCTCTTTGGACAGGAAGATGAGGCCTGTGTGTGTGTGTGTCTGTTCCCTCCCACCCTCCAAGTCTCTCCCCAAGGCTGACTCTTCCCCCAGGGCCAGATTGTCCCAGAGGAGGTTCTTCCTTTCCCCAGGCAGGACTTGACATTCTTTCTTTGTAATGCCATGAGGCTTCTGTGGGACCAGTCTCCCGGCCCCTCTCCTTCTACCTCTATGGCAGCCCTGCCCTGGGGCACATCAACTGGTATGAATGGGTTGACTTTTCTCAGGCAGTCCTTGATTCGATGGCCACCCATGGCTGGGAGGTCTCTCCCTCCTTCCTTCAGCTCTTCCAGAGGGCACAGCAGCCTGGGAGACATTCTAGGTGAACACTGAAAGAGTCAAGGTGTTGACTCCCACCAGCCTACTGTCTCTCTACTCTTTGTGAAATCAGATGTCCCAGCCAGCTGTTGGCCCACACTTTCCTCCATCAGTCTTTGGCTACATTTGTAGGGCTCAATGTTTGCCTGAAGTTTCTTGCCTGTTGCACTCGATACCTCTTGCAAGACTCAAGGCAGGATGAGCTCTAGCTTTCCTAACATGATCGCAACATGCCTACTTATTCTTTCCACATTTGAAGCTCACCCCTCCTCCCAAATAGAGGATGTGGCTTGTTCTTCCTGGTGCTCCACCAGGAGCAAAACGCTTACCCAGTTCGGATCTCCTGAAATGCCTGTTTGATTTCTGACTATTGGGATGGACCCTTCTTGCACTTGGACCATGAGGTGCCTAAGGTGCTGCCAGCTCTTCTGAGCTCCTTTGCACTTCACAGCCACCTCCATGGCATACTACATACCAGCTGTCTGAATAGGCCAAATCTGGCATGCCTGAAGTCCAGGGGCTGTACTCTGATGCTCGCTTTCCTTCCTCCCTTCAGGTCTTGAATTCCACTGTTTCTCACGTGTGAGAGCCAAGGCTGCCCTTGATTCCAAAGTTCCAAATCATTCCTTCCCTCGTGGGGGCAGCTGTGCCTCACCCGTCTTTGGCCCAGGACAGAATCGCAGGATCCTTCAGGTTGGAAGGGACCTCTGGAGATCGTCTAGTCCAAACGTCCCTGCTCAAAGCAGGGTCAGCCCCTGGACGATGCTGAGGGCCATGTCCTCTCAAGCTCTGAACACCTCCAAGGATGAGGACTCCGTAACCTGTTCAGGCAATCCCAGATGGTGCTTTCTCGCTCTCACCCTAACAGAGTCTTTTCTCGTCTTTTCGTGGAATCTCCCGTATTGCAGTATGTGCCTCTTACCGCTTGTCCCTTCAGACGATAGGACTCGGGACGGTCTGGCACCATGATCGTGACTCTCTCCCATCAGCTTTTTTAACCCAGTGCTACGAAGCGTGTTCCGGGGCCTTCTCTCCTTCAGGGTGAACAACCAAGACCTCTCGCAGCCCCTCCTGCCTCAGGGGCTCCAGTTGCTTCGTGGGCTCTGTGGCCCTTTGCTGGACTCATGCCAGCATGGCTGTGACTCCCTCGTACTGAGCAGCCACGAACTGGACAGAAATTGTGCTTTCAACAGTGCTTAGCCAAGAAGACGGCTCACCTGCTGCAGTATGATCGCAACAATCTTCTTAATGCAGACCAGGACACTGTCAGATGCCATTTCTCCGGAGGTCCAGGCTGCCTCATGGTGTCCTCCGGGACCCATGTCCTCTGCTGCAAAGCTGTTGAGCAGTCCACCAGGCCCGGCCTGTACTGGTGCAGGAAATTCTTCCTCCCCCACTGCATGACATTGCATAGAGGGCTTAAGCAGTACTGGCCCCTGTCTAGACCCCTACGGGGCACCAGGAGACAGTGGCCACCAGCTGGACTTTGTGCCACTCGTCACAACCCATGGAGACAAGCAGCCCTGCCAGATTTCCATCCCCAGCACTGCCATCTTCCCCAGACTCTATTTTGACACTTCGCCTGCAAGGATTCTCACAGCAGACAGACTCAAAGGCCAGCTTTAGATGAGGTCGGTAACATTTGCTGCACTTCCCACATGCACTGGAGCCCCGCACAGCATCAGAGAAGGCCAGGAGGTTGGTCAGGCCTGCTTTCCCCTCCATAAATCCATGCTGACCACTCACAATCCCCTTCTTGTCCTTTCATCTTGGGAAAGGGCTTCCAGGATGATTTGCTACATCACCTTTGCAGGGATGGGGGTGAGGATGACTGGTCTGTAATTCCCGGGAGCCTCCTTCGTGCACTTCTTGAAGACAGGCAGCCCACTGGCTTTCTTCCAGCCCTCACATGCATTCCCTGACTGCTGTGGCTTTCAAAGGGAGTTGAGAGTGGCCTTGTCGTGACACTAACCAACTCCCTTGGGTGCATGACTTCTGGTTCCTCGCACTCCTGTCAGTCCAAGCTCATTCAATGCTCCCACACCTGACCCTCCTCTACAGCAGGCATGTCTTCCCTGCTCCAGACTTTCCAAGGAATGTCAGGAGCCTGATCTCTCAACGGCAAATGCTGCCAGTAAAGACCAAGGCCAAGAACTCTTGCACTACCTCCACCATCACTATAAAGCCTGTCCGGAGGGAAGCTGCTCTGTGGAGCACCGAGGCTGCCTTTCACCAAGCCTGCTTTTGGTGCTGACCGGCCTGGAAGAAAAACTTCTTCTTGCCCTCCACATCTTGTCCCAGAACCAATGTCACATGGACCCCTCCGGCACTTCAGAAACACCTCGTGCCCGCAGTGAAACAACCCTCTCCAGGAAATCCTTGGGCCTCTCATCCTCCCACATGAAAGGAGCCAGCATGGCAGGCCAGGCATGCCAGAGATGAGGAAATGAAATGTCAGTGGTGACGGAAGCCAAAACACGAACTGTGCCATCAGGTAGGATATTCTGCTCTGGAGGTGAGTCTGTTGGAAAATTACTGCCTGGGTGCAGCGACTGTGGTCCTGGGGCATTTCTGGAGCAGTATAAAAGCGGGCCCATCTCCTCACTCTCTCATTCACTCTTCTCACCTCCACCTCCTTGGGAACAAGGTGACTCTGAAGCCCTTTCTTTTCTCCCTCCTCATCTTCCTCGTTCCTCTCTTATCTGGGTTGTAGGGTTGCTTACCAGGGAAGAGGGAGGTAGGGACAAGGTGAGGCATGGAGAGAGATGGAGGTTTGGCTACAGTGAGCCTTAAATTAGGAAGGGATTTCACTGGAATTGGTCAGTTTTGGCAGGGGACTTTTGAGCCGGTGGGAAGGAGAAACCCACGGGCCTCCCTACAATCCTCCCACCTTTTCTCACCACTTCTTGATTTTTCCTTTCTCCTGGTGGAGTGACTCGTTGTTGTCCAAACACACCTTGTGCTATGTTTTCCCTTGATCCTGCTGTCAGGTTCATCTCCACTGTCGAGACATGTCCTGCTACAACCGGTGCCTGCCCTGCGTGCCATGCCAGCCCTGCGGCCCGACCCCGCTGGCCAACAGCTGCAATGAGTCCTGTGTCAGGCAGTGCCAGGACTCCACCGTCGTCATCCAGCCCTCCCCCGTGGTGGTGACCCTGCCCGGCCCCATCCTCAGCTCCTTCCCGCAGAGCACCGCCGTGGGCTCCTCCACCTCCGCCGCCGTCGGCAGCATCCTCAGCTCTGAGGGAGTGCCCATCTCCTCCGGGGGCTTTGGCCTCTCCGGCTTGGGCAGTCGCTACTGCGGCAGGAGGTGCCTCCCCTGCTAAAGCTGCCGGCGACGGCCCTGGGGAAGGGCCTCGGGGACCCACAAGATGCTACCGGACTGCGGACGGAGCATTGGGTTCTTGCTCTCAGAGCAGCTGAGCAACATCAGCACCCCTTCTAAAAGAATGGGGCCAGCCCAGGCTCTCTGAGATCACGGCCCACGTCTGCCCTCCCCTTCTTCCACTCTCTTTTTCCCTCCCGTGTCCTTGTTGCCTTGTGCTGCCCAGGGCTGGGAGCCCCACAAAGCCAGCCTAGGGAGGCCCTGCTGGCCCTGCTCCCTCTGTCGGGCTTGTTGCAGATGGACACCTGCTGGGATCTCTGCCACAGCCATGGTGCGCACGCACCTTTCCACCCCTGGTGCTCCCTGCACTGGCACCTCAACTCAAAGCAACCTCATTTCCTCCTTTGTCTCATTAAAGTTCTGCTGCATCCCATCCCACGCCTCTGTTATCCTTTCTCCTGTAGATGCTTTCCCAGGTTGCTCAAGGATAGAGGATTTGCCTGGGTGTCTCCGGGAAGGGGTTGTTGGGGATGAGCGGGCAGTGATTGATAACAGCATTGTGTGGGGTCTACCTGAGATGAAGTTAAATTCCACCCCACTACCCTTCTACTTGTTCTTTGTAGTTGTAAGTAGAATGGTGTTTCTGACACATCAATGTTTTGGGTTTTGCTGGGCAGTGCTTGCACAGCAGCAAGACTGCCTTGCTAAATGTCCTGGGTTTGATTGATTGGTGGGCTTTCTGGTGGCAGGGGAGGGGACTACAGCAGTGTCCTCCTGTGAGAATCTTCTCAAAGGTTCCTTGCCTCCAAGTCAGATCCACCTCCTCACCGAGGCCGAGCCATTCAGCTGTGCCCCTGCAAGAACAGATTTAAGAAGGAGGTGTTGGACTTGTGAGGGGGAGTTGCAGCAGCTGCGTGAACTACAAGGTCAGTGGAGGAACAGCAGAAGAAATCAGGGTGGAGGTTTTCCAGAGCAGAGACCACCCTGTTAACCTGTGGTGAGATGGCGGGGCGGCCACCCCTGCTACCCATGAAGGTCTTTGGTGGACCAGACACTTCTTTATGGCCTGTGAGAGACTTCATATGTAAATTACAGTGTCTTTGCCTGAGGGAGGCCGGGATCCTGTGAGAAGAAGCAGCCCCCGCTCTTGCAGTTCAGTGCTGGAGGGGTTGCAGCACGCGGGTGTGTCCCATGCTGGAGCATCTCAGTAAGGGCTGCATCCCGTGGGAGGGTCTCCAGTTAAAGGAAGTTGGTGTCCCACTCTAGAGCAGTGAGGGAAACACTGTGGCCTGTGGGAGGGACTCGTGTTGGAGAAAGTTTGTGGAGGACTGTCTCCTGTGAGAGGAGGACCACACTGGAGCAGGGGGAAGAACTTCCAGAAGTTCCCCACACTGAAGATGGAAGACGCGGCAGCACTGGCTACACCCCCCAGTCCCTTCCCCCTGAGCTGCAAGGGGAGGAGGTAGCGATATCGGGAGCAGAGCTGAGCCCGGGTAGAAGGCAGAGGTGGGGAGAAGGTGTTCTCAGGATGTGGTAATGCTTGTCACTGTCCTACTCTGTGAAGCATTGCTGTTGCTAGTGGCTGTAATAAATCTATGTTCTTTATTTTCTTCTGCAAGCGAGTCTGCATTTTTCCTGTGACCGTAACGGGTGATTTATCCCTCCAAGTCCTATTTTGAATCCCAAGGCTGGTTTATTTCCTCTTTCTCAGCGTTCGGGGAAAGGGGAAGTGAGCGACTGCAACATGCCACTACCATGTCTCCAAAGGGTCAGCAGTCTAGTGGTGAGCAAGAGTTTGGAGGGGACAGAGCCAGGACAGCTGACCCAGACTAAGCGAGGGGATATTCCATACCATATGACATCACGGACAGCAATCATGGCTATGAGAAAAGGGGAAGTAGGGAGTGTGGTGGGCGATTCATTATTAAAGGCATTTTTCTTCCCAATGAACCGCTAATTGCACTCTGACCCTCTTTGCCAGGAGTGTCTGGACATCGCCTGCTGATTTGAAGTAGAGAATAAATCTTCCTGCTTTGCTTTCCTTCTGCATGCTTCACTTTGCTTTTCTTCATTAAAATGCCCTTATCTTCACCCATGCGTTCTTCATGTCATTTTGTCCTCCCTTTCTCTCTGAGGAGGGGCAGCAGTAGAGCATCTTGGTGGGCACCTGATGAGCAGACAAGGTCAACTCACCTCAGCCTTTTTGTTGGTTGTTGCGGGGCTCGAGACAATGGCAGTTCTGAACAGGGAGTGCTATAGTTGTAGTAGCTACTAACCGGCAGTCCTGAGTGCAGGTCAGGGGCTTTGCTTGCTGCGATGCTTATGGCTTTATTTGACTGAGCTTGGCACAAGGTAACAGAACCAAAGGCTATGCCTCTGCCCTGCCATTGATTCCCCTCCTGTGCTGGGGGAGCTCTCTTCTGGAGGGGATGGGGGAATACACCTCCCTCTTTCCATCCGGGATGGATGTGGGATGTTTTGTTGTGTAGGCCCCCAGGGTCCTTGTTCACCCTTACGTGTGCCGTATACTACTACTGCTCAACACTGTTGGCTTATTGCGGAGCTTGTGGAATATGATGGCTTGCTGACGTAAGAAGAGGTAACTTTGGGGACAGGTAACTTTTGGGTGGGAAACACACCCTGAGCTGGCCGGACCCTGGGTGGCAGCTGCTTGAAAACCCGGTGCTTTCAGCACTGTACTGGGGTTTGACCGGTGTCTGTTGAGCCACGATTCAGTACTATCAGAGGACCGTGGTTACGGCAGGACCCAAACCACCTCTGTGAATGTCCCGGTTCAGCCAGGGGTCCAAAATACTGGTAAGAACACAGTAGTTGAGGCAGAGACCCAAGCCACATGTGAGAACATTGTGGTTGTGATAGGGACCCAAACACCACCTACAGTAATAGCTTCAGCAGAAAAAAAAAAAAAATGGACAAGTGAACGCCTCCATATGATCGAATAACAAGGGGGTGAGGAGGAGGAAGCGTCTGGTTGGGAAGCTGGTCGTTCCTTCAGGAAAGAAGTGGGAAGAAGTAATGAGAGAGATCGCTGCAGAGATGGAAAGTACCCAGTCCCTGACCTCGAGAGAACTTTGAGACATGTGGAAAGATGAGAGACGGTAGCCAGGTGAGCAGAGTACTGCCTGGCAACTCCGATGCTGGGAGCATGGGGCCAAGAGTCAGCCACTGATTGGTGAGGAAGCCCAAAAGTTGGGATCCTTTTCCAGGGACCAGGCAGTTGACAGTGGAATTGGAAAAAAGACAATGAATTGCGGTCTCTGGAGGTACCTCCTGTTGACCCTGAGGGCAAGATGAAGGTGGTCACATCCCAGTAGTAGTGATCAATAACATCTGTATCCTCACCAATCTGGCAACAAGACAACAATAACTGATTACAAGAAAGATGATTAACAGCCTCTGCATGGTCCATTCTTCTGCGGACACTGCAGCCTCAGTGGTGAGGGAAGCGTTGCCCTGGGGAAGCTATGGGCGTATGGGTACCTGGGGAGCCTTCGCCATTCCCCAATGGAGGCGAGGGTGAACCGATGCATGACTGTGGATAATCAAAGCAAGCCCGTGTCACTGCACAGCCATCCTCAAGAAGCCATTGCCAGAGCCACCCCTGAGCAACCACATCTCTCTTGCTCATGAACATGGGAGAGCCTCTGCAGGGGAAAGGATGACACAGAGGCATGGGCTGATATGCAGCAGAGCTTTAATGAGACAAAGGAGGAAATGAGGTTGCTTTGAGTTGAGGTGCCAGTGCAGGGAGCACCAGGGACAGAAAGGTGCGTGCGCACCACGGCTGTGGCAGAGATCCCAGCAGGTGTCCATCTGCAACAAGCCCCACAGAGGGAGCAGGGCCAGCAGGGCCTCCCTAGGCTGGCTTTGTGGGGCTCCAAGCCCCAGGGAGCACAAGGCAACAAGGACACGGGAGGGAAAGGAGAGAGTGGAAGAAGGGGAGGGCAGCCGTGGGCCGTGATCTCAGAGAGCCTGGGCTGGCCCCATTCTTTTAGAAGGGGTGCTGATGTTGCTCAACCGCTCTGAGAACAAGAACCCAATGCTCCGTCCCCAGTCCGGTAGCATCTTGTGGGTCCCCGAGGCCCTTCCCCAGGGCCGTCGCCGGCAGCTTTAGCAGGGGAGGCACCTCCTGCCGCAGTAGCGACTGCCCAAGCCGGAGAGGCCAAAGCCCCCGGAGGAGATGGGCACTCCCTCAGAGCTGAGGATGCTGCCGACGGCGGCGGAGGTGGAGGAGCCCACGGCGGTGCTCTGCGGGAAGGAGCTGAGGATGGGGCCGGGCAGGGTCACCACCACGGGGGAGGGCTGGATGACGACGGTGGAGTCCTGGCACTGCCTGACACAGGACTCATTGCAGCTGTTGGCCAGCGGGGTCGGGCCGCAGGGCTGGCATGGCACGCAGGGCAGGCACTGGTTGTAGCAGGACATGTCTGGACGGTGGAGACAAACCTGGGAGTGGGATCAGTGGAAATCAACACACAAGGGGTGGTTGAAGAGCAGCCTGTTCCCCAGCGTGAGGAATACACTTACCCTCAGCTTAATAGAGCCAACCAAGGGCGACCATGACCACACTGGTCCCCACCTAGCCCATAGCTCAGGAGACACCTCAGCCAAGCCCCAACCTCTCCTTCTGCTCACTTCCCTCTCCCATAGCAGCAGCCTCAAGACCCAGCATAGGAGAAAGAGACAAGCTGTGCGCTGAGAAAACGCAGAGGAGGACAAGGAGGAGGAACAGGAGGCGGAAGAGGACAAAGGGCTCCAGACTCACCTTGTTCTCAAGGAGATGGAAGTGAGAGGAATGGATGAGAGAGTGAGGAGAAGGGCCTGCTTTTATACTGCTACTACACTGCCCCAGGCCTAGAGTCGCAGCACACGGGCGGTAATTTTCCAACAGACTCACCTCCAAAGCAAAATAGCCTACCTAGTGGCACAGGTTGTGCTTTGGTTTCCATCAACACTGTTGTTTCATTTCCTCATTTTTGACATCATCATTACACTGCTGAGGCTCCTTTGAAGTACCAGCAGGAGAGGCCCAAGGATTTCCTGAGCCCGACCATGTCAGTACAAGCAGAAGATGTGCCTCCGAGTACTGGAGGGGTCTGTGCAGGTGGAGGACATGGGTCTGAGGAAATCTGGTGAGTTAGTTTGCAAACCCCTCTGCAGGAAGGTAGGCCTGTCTTCCCAACAAAGCAGTCCTCTCCTGGGTGCCCAAAAGCTCCTGTGACTGAGGTCCTCCCACTCTCCTCTAAACACCATCCGCTTTGGTTGAACGATACGGATTCTGACCACTCAGAGACATAAAGGCCTGGCCACTTTTCCAAAACAAGCTGATGGGCAAGTGATCCCCCCACTGAAATGTGGGTGTGCTGGCAAGGTCATGCTGAGGGCAATGACCATTGCGGCTGCCTCGAGCAGTGTACTCGAATACAGCCCAATGCCTGAGAATAGTTTTCTAGGGCAGGGATGGAGCTGCCCTGGCTGCAGGGCAATTCAGCCCTGCGTGGGACACGGGCCTGCAGACAGCACGCACTCCTGGCTTGGCCTCACACCAAAAGGCTGACACGTGGCCCATCCAAAATTAGCGTGACTCGCCATGGGTAGGGAGAGTCTATCCCAGGAAGCTTGCCTACTGAACACATTCCCTTGCCTTCCTGGGATGCGTCCCAGCCGTCTCCATGTCTGCAGGGCAGGGAAGTACATCGCCTACTTGATGTAGTCTGAGAGGTGGTTTTGTACCCAGGGCCCTTCTGAGCACATCCCCGCCCTGAGCATTCTCTGGCACATGGCTCTGCAGGGTCCCGACGGCCCTCACTCCTTGGGGAGTAGAGGGAAGTTTCCTTGCCTCTCCAGTGGTGCTGGATTGTACTCCACGCCGAGGAGTCTTTTAGGTTAAGGGAGGGGAGGTGTGATGTAGCCCTAATGTCGGTAAAAGACATATCTCGCGGCACGCAATCATGAGTCCAAGCCCGTGGGGGGCAGATTTCTGAAGCCCTTTCTTTCCCTCCCCTGGGAATTCAGGAGAGCTCCTCACCGCAGCCCTGTCTCTTTGGACAGGAAGATGAGGCCTGTGTGTGTGCCTATAGTGCTGCCAGCTCTTCTGAGCTCCTTTGCACTTCACAGCCACCTCCATGGCATACTACATACCAGCTGTCTGAATAGGCCAAATCTGGCATGCCTGAAGTCCAGGGGCTGTACTCTGATGCTCGCTTTCCTTCCTCCCTTCAGGTCTTGCATTCCACTGTTTCTCACGTGTGAGAGCCAAGGCTGCCCTTGATTCCAAAGTTCCAAATCATTCCTTCCCTCGTGGGGGCAGCTGTGCCTCACCCGTCTTTGGCCCAGGACAGAATCGCAGGATCCTTCAGGTTGGAAGGGACCTCTGGAGATCGTCTAGTCCAAACGTCCCTGCTCAAAGCAGGGTCAGCCCCTGGACGATGCTGAGGGCCATGTCCTCTCAAGCTCTGAACACCTCCAAGGATGAGGACTCCGTAACCTGTTCAGGCAATCCCAGATGGTGCTTTCTCGCTCTCACCCTAACAGAGTCTTTTCTCGTCTTTTCGTGGAATCTCCCGTATTGCAGTATGCGCCTCTTACCGCTTGTCCCTTCAGACGATAGGACTCGGGACGGTCTGGCACCATGATCGTGACTCTCTCCCATCAGCTTTTTTAACCCAGTGCTACGAAGCGTGTTCCGGGGCCTTCTCTCCTTCAGGGTGAACAACCAAGACCTCTCGCAGCCCCTCCTGCCTCAGGGGCTCCAGTTGCTTCGTGGGCTCTGTGGCCCTTTGCTGGACTCATGCCAGCATGGCTGTGACTCCCTCGTACTGAGCAGCCACAAACTGGACAGAAATTGTGCTTTCAGCAGTGCTTAGCCAAGAAGACGGCTCACCTGCTGCAGTGTGATCGCAACAATCTTCTTAATGCAGACCAGGACACTGTCAGATGCCATTTCTCCGGAGGTCCAGGCTGCCTCATGGTGTCCTCCGGGACCCATGTCCTCTGCTGCAAAGCTGTTGAGCAGTCCACCAGGCCCGGCCTGTACTGGTGCAGGAAATTCTTCCTCCTCCACTGCATGACTTTGCATAGAGGGCCTAAGCAGTACTGGCCCCTGTCTAGACCCCTATGGGGCACCAGGAGACAGTGGCCACCAGCTGGACTTTGTGCCACTCGTCACAACCCATGGAGACAAGCAGCCCTGCCAGATTTCCATCCCCAGCACTGCCATCTTCCCCAGACTCTATTTTGACACTTCGCCTGCAAGGATTCTCACAGCAGACAGACTCAAAGGCCAGCTTTAGATGAGGTCGGTAACATTTGCTGCACTTCCCACGTGCACTGGAGCCCCGCACAGCATCAGAGAAGGCCAGGAGGTTGGTCAGGCCTGCTTTCCCCTCCGTAAATCCATGCTGACCACTCACAATCCCCTTCTTGTCCTTTCATCTTGGGAAAGGGCTTCCAGGATGATTTGCTCCATCACCTTTGCAGGGATGGGGGTGAGGATGACTGGTCTGTCATTCCCAGGAGCCTCCTTCGTGCCCTTCTTGAAGACAGGCAGCCCACTGGCTTTCTTCCAGCCCTCACATGCATTCCCTGACTGCTGTGGCTTTCAAAGGGAGTTGAGAGTGGCCTTGTCGTGACACTAACCAACTCCCTTGAGTGCATGACTTCTGGTTCCTCGCACTCCTGTCAGTCCAAGCTCATTCAATGCTCCCACAACTGACCCTCCTCTACAGCAGGCATGTCTTCCCTGCTCCAGACTTTCCAAGGAATGTCAGGAGCCTGATCTCTCAACGGCAAATGCTGCCAGTAAAGACCAAGGCCAAGAAATCTTGGACTACCTCCACCATCACTATAACCCCTGTCCAGAGTGAAGCTGCTCTGTGGATCACCGAGGCTGCCTTTCACCAAGCCTGCTTTTGGTGCTGACCAGCCTGGAAGGAAAACTTCTTCTTGCCCTCCACATGTTGTCCCTGAACCAATGGCACATGGACCCCTCTGGCAGTTAAGAAACACCTCGTGCCCACAGTGAAACAACCCTCTCCAGGAAATCCTTGGGCCTCTCCTGCTGGTACTTCAAAGGAGCCTCAGCGGTGTAATGGTGATGTCAAAAATGAGGAAATGAAACAACAGTGTTGATGGAAGCCAAAACACAACCTGTGCCACTAGGTAGGCTATTTTGCTTTGGAGGTGAGTCTGTTGGAAAATTACCGCCCGTGTGCTGCGACTCTAGGCCTGGGGCAGTGTAGTAGCAGTATAAAAGCAGGCCCTTCTCCTCACTCTCTCATCCATTACCCTCACTTCCATCTCCTTGAGAACAAGGTGAGTCTGGAGCCCTTTGTCCTCTTCCGCCTCCTGTTCCTCCTCCTTGTCCTCCTCTGTGTTTTCTCAGCGCACAGCTTGTCTCTTTCTCCTATGCTGGGTCTTGAGGCTGCTGCTATGGGAGAGGGAAGTGAGCAGAAGGAGAGGTTGGGGCTTGGCTGAGGTGTCTCCTGAGCTATGGGCTAGGTGGGGACCAGTGTGGTCATGGTCGCCCTTGGTTGGCTCTATTAAGCTGAGGGTAAGGGTATTCCTCACGCTGGGGAACAGGCTGCTCTTCAACCACCCCTTGTGTGTTGATTTACACTGATCCCACTCCCAGGTTCGACTCCATCGTCCAGACATGTCCTGCTACAACCAGTGCCTGCCCTGCGTGCCATGCCAGCCCTGCGGCCCGACCCCGCTGGCCAACAGCTGTAATGAGTCCTGTGTCAGGCAGTGCCAGGACTCCACCGTCGTCATCCAGCCCTCCCCCGTGGTGGTGACCCTGCCCGGCCCCATCCTCAGCTCCTTCCCGCAGAGCACCGCCGTGGGCTCCTCCACCTCCGCCGCCGTCGGCAGCATCCTCAGCTCTGAGGGAGTGCCCATCTCCTCCGGGGGCTTTGGCCTCTCCGGCTTGGGCAGTCGCTACTGCGGCAGGAGGTGCCTCCCCTGCTAAAGCTGCCAGCGACGGCCCTGGGGAAGGGCCTCGGGGACCCACAAGATGCTACCGGACTGCGGACGGAGCATTGGGTTCTTGCTCTCAGAGCGGCTGAGCAACATCAGCACCCCTTCTAAAAGAACGGGGCCAGCCCAGGCTCTCTGAGAACATGGCACACGCTTGCCTTGCCCTTCTTTGACTTTCTCTTTTCCTTCCCGTGTTTTTGTTTTCTTTCCATCATTTAATTTATTAAAGTTCTACTGCATCCCAGCCCATGTTTCTGTGCATCCTTTCCCCTGCAGATACTCTCCCAAGATGCGCTATATTTCTCGGGTTGTTTTTTGGGAGGGGCTCGGTTGGCGATGTTTATCCGTGATTACCAGCACAGGCTTCCACTAAGCCTGCTTAGTCATGTATCAGGTGATTTTCTAATTTCTAAATGTTTCTGTCAATTTTGGACTGAACAGAATTACCCTATGCAGTTCAGTGAATACCATCCACTTTGTTGTGCACACCTTTTCTTTTTCCTCAGTAAGCTCAACACTGTGATGCAAGGTGTCAGGCGGGAATGTGGTACTGACAAGGCATGTGCTCTAGCTTCCCAGGAGATGCCAGGACAACCCACCCTAACCGCAGCATTCTGAAAGGGAGGGACACAGTGCAGTGGGCTGCCTTGTCACAGAGTTTTATTATTATTATTATGCAATCCTAAAATGGTTTTGGTTGGAGGAGACCTTTAAAGACCATCTAGTCTGACCCCTCTGCCTTGGGCAGAGATATCTGTCGCTACATCTCATTACTCAGAGCTCCGTCAGAAGTGACTTTGATCACTTCCAGTGATGGGGCATCTCATCATTCTCTGGGCAACATTTGCCAGTGTCTCGCCACCTTCATCAAAATAAATTTCTTCCTTATGTCCAATCTACGTCTACCCTGTTTGACGGTAAAAGCGCTGTTCTTTTACTACAGGCCTTGATAAAGTCTCTCTTTGCCTTCCTTATAAGTCCCGTTTATATCTCTGAATGACTGCAAGAAGGTCTCACCAGAGCCTTCTCTACTCCCAAGTGAAAAAACCCAAGCCCCTAGGCATTTCTTCATAGGAGGGTTGGTGTATCCCTCCCATCATTTTTGAGGCCCTTCTCTGGACCTGCTCTAAGAGGCCCGTGTCTTTTCCATACTGGGGACCTGAGACTGGGTGTAGTTGTGCAGGTGGAGCCTAATGTGAAGGGACTAGAAGCAGAGAAGCTGGTGGGTGCTTAGTGCTTGCCGGGGTCAGGACCCCACACAGCCCCCCGGGCAGTGAATGTCCCCCTTGCCCTGCTCCTTGCCGGTCTGTGCCCGGGTCTTCGTGGGAAGGTTTCTGGAGAGAGGGAGGGAGGGAGAGACGCGGGGCAGGTGCTGGCTGGGTGTCTCAAAGGTCTGTCCAGGAGCTCTCCAAAGCAGCGCGGTGACCAGCAGCAAAGGCTTCAGAGAGGCTTGCAGGGGAGGAAGGGGGAGCTGCTGAGGTGCTGCAGGACACAGCTGGGCAAGATGACACATGTGCACCCAGAGCCCCAGATGTCAGCTGGCTTGGGATCAGCCAGCCCTGTCTCCCACACGTCCTTCAGCCCCTGACAAGCACAGTCCCAAAGCAGGGCCGGGGAAAGGTGCTTTTGCAGTATCCCCATCAAAAGAGGTGTGACTGCCAGCACTGTTCCCAGGCACCACGGACTCTCATCAACATCCTGAGCTACCAGAGCCACACCGTAGCCAGGAGACCGATGGGTGCAATGATCCCACTCTGCTCAGCACTTGGCTGGTGGCATCTAGAACACTGCGTCGAGGTTTGGGCTGTAACGCACAAACGTCCTTGACCAAGTGGTGTGAGTTCAGCTGAGGGTGCACAGCATGGTGAGGAGGCCAGAGAGCTTCCTTGGGGAGGAAAGTCTGAGGGCCCAGGGCTGGCGGAATGTGGAGAAGTGAATGCTTTGGTGGGAGAGCTCAAAGCATCTTTGGGGGAGCTACGTCCATCAAACTGCATTGGGTGATTGTATCCAGCCCCAGACAGGCAAAGAAGTTTGGAAAGCAATCGGATGTCCACCAGATGCGTGACTAAGTACACTCAAAGCAGGTCTGTGTCAACAGTCACTGCACAGCCACCCCTAACAACCCCTTCCCTAAACCTGTCCTGTGCACCATGTGTCTCCCTGGGCATCTTGGGAGAGCCTCTGCAGGGGAAAGGATGACACAGAGGCATGGGCTGGGATGCAGCACAACTTTAATGTGTGAAATGATGTAAACGAGGTCAGTGTGAGTGCCATCTCCATGGAAAAGCGCAGCGGGGACAGAGAGGTGCATGTGCACCACGGCTGTGGCAGAGATCCCAACAGGTGTCCATCTGCAACAAGCCCCACAGAGGGAGCAGGGCCAGCAGGGCCTCCCTAGGCTGGCTTTGTGGGGCTCCCAGCCCCGGGCAGCACAAGGCAACAAGGACACGGGAGGGAAAGGAGAGAGTGGAAGAAGGGGAGGGCAGCGGTGGACCGTGATCTCAGAGAGCCTGGGCTGGCCCCATTCTTTTAGAAGGGGTGCTGATGTTGCTCAACCGCTCTGAGAACAAGAACCCAATGCTCCGTCCCCAGTCCGGTAGCATCTTGTGGGTCCCCGAGGCCCTTCCCCAGGGCCGTCGCCGGCAGATTTAGCAGGGGAGGCACCTCTTGAGCGACTGCCCAAGCCGGAGAGGCCAAAGCCCCCGGAGGAGATGGGCACTCCCTCAGAGCTGAGGATGCTGCCGACGGCGGCGGAGGTGGAGGAGCCCACGGCAGTGCTCTGCGGGAAGGAGCTGAGGATGGGGCCGGGCAGGGTCACCACCACGGGGGAGGGCTGGATGACGATGGTGGAGTCCTGGCACTGCCTGACACAGGGCTCATTGCAGCTGTTGGCCAGCGGGGTTGGGCCGCAGGGCTGGCATGGCACGCAGGGCAGGCACCGGTTGTAGCAGGACATGTCTGGACAGTGGAGTCGAACCTGGGAGTGGGATCAGTGGAAATCAACACACAAGGGGTGGTTGAAGAGCAGCCTGTACCCCAGCGTGAGGAGACACACTTGTTGCTCAGGGGTGGTTCTGGGATGGGGTTGTTGGGGATGGCTTTGCAGTAGCTTTTACCGCAATGATTGTTAACTCTCACTGCATGGTCCTTCCCTCTGTGGACACTCCAGACACATACAGTCAGGAAGACGTGTGTTTCTCTGTGGAAGTTATGGCTGCATGGGGCACATGGAGATCCTTCACCATTCCCAATAGAGGAGAGGGTGGGATATGGTGCAGTGGGCCCCCTTCATGCACCAACATTTGCAGGTGAGGAAGGCATCCATGGCTCCTCCTGTGTCCCTTGCCATCAGGCCCAGCTTTGTTGAGCCTCTGTCCAGAATTGCCCTCTTGGCCTCAGTCCACATGCTGTGAAAGCGGTGTGTGGCCACTCCCAAGCTTGGTTGAGGATCCTGGTCTATGGAAGTCCCTGGGACAGCAGCAGGCCAAGATCTTGTGGAGGGGAGAAAAGGGAATTCCTCTTGCTCTGGATGCCACTGTGCTGGAGGGGAAAGGCTCAGGTAGAAAACGTTCCCAGAGAGTAGCAGGAGTGAGAATGAGGTGAATAGGTTCACAGTGCACATGATCCTCCTGCTTCCATTTATGCAGTGGGTTTCCTGGGGGAAGTTTCTGGAGAGACACTGAGGGTAAGGAGAAAGGCAGGGGCTTGTTGCCAATTATTCTTTAAGGGGAGCCTGGAAGGTCTCCAAAGCAGTGCTGTCACCAGCCGAAAAGACTGCATAGAGGGTTGCAGCTGAGGAAGGCAAGCTGCTCAACTGCTTCAGGACATTCCCGAGCATGATGATGCAGGAACCTTTCAGAGACCTAATCAGCAGTTGTCTTGGTAGCAGAGACACTGTCAACCTTCTCCACACACATCTTCCAGCCCCTTGCAAGCTGTCCTGGTTTAATTCCAACCAGCAACTAAGCACCACTCACTCACTTCTCACCCCCCACCAGTGTGGGATGGGGATAAGAATCAGAAAGAAAATAGAAATGTTGAGATTAAAAGTTTAATAATTGAAATAAAATAAAATATAATGATAATAACCATAATATCAATGAAAAGGAAGATAACAAAAAGAGAAATAAAACCCCAGAAAAGACAAGTGATGCACAATGCAACTGCTCACCACCTGCTGACCAATCCCCGATCAGATATTGGCCGCTCCCAGCCAACGCACCCACCAGTTTTTATACTGACCGTGACACCCTATGCTATGGAATACCCCTTTGGCTAGTTCAGGTCAGCTCCCCTGACTACGTTCCCTGCCAGCTTCTTGTGCACCCCCTTACTGGCAGAGCATGGGAAACCAAAAAATCATTGATTTAGGATTAGCACTACTTAGCAACAACTAAACCATCAGTGTGTTATGAATATTAATCTTATACTAAATCCAAAATACAGCACTGTACCAGCTACTGGAAAGAAAATTAACTCCCTCCCAGACAAAAACAGGACACAAGAAAATGCTCAAATGCGAGTCAAGAAAAAGTGTTCTGCTGGAGAACTACATCAATATAAGCATGTCCTTCAATGGAGAGATATTCCCACTGTGGGCAGGGTCTGCTGTGGGGGCAGGCGCTAATCAGTCTAAGAAGCAGACACACATGGCTCAGCTTCCTTGGCTGAATTCACACCACCATGTACCCCTGAATTTGGGAGATCCTTTTCTCTATCTCCATAGTTGGAGAGCAAGACATAGTATCCAGCACTTCAAGGCTTGTCAAGACAGACTGCCAGCAAGCGAGGAGCTGCTTTCCCTTCTGCTTGCCTTTTTCTGCAAGAAAAACAAGAAGAGGTGAAGGTCAAATGTGGAAAAAAGAAAGGCAAAGGCAAGGCAAGATGCACTGCTGCTCAGGATGAGTTTTGCAGAAATCATGCATGCTCTGTCACCGAGTGATCTGTGACTGTGAAGAGGCAGTTTCCTGTCGGTTCTCCCAGTGACTTTGAGAGTGGAGCACAGCTCATCCTTGTACCAGCAATGGCTGTTTTAGATTCTGCAGCCCAACAGGCAGCTCAGGGGACAGGTATCCAAGAAACATGTCAACCATTCCCTGACTGGGGACCATTCTGTAAATGAGGATAAAAAGAGTCATGCCTGTGTGCAGACGCTTGAGTTTACATAATGGTCAGAGTTGGTTTATGGTCTACATTTGTGAAGATGAGAGATACGCCACTGCAAGATCAAGCATGCAGGGAGACATCTCAATCCTTTGGCAGACTTAGTCCATCTTGGACTCCTGGAAACTAAGATTTTACATATCTTTGCAGATAAAAGGACAGGAAGAGGCAAGCCTCTCTGTGCTTGAAAATGGCTTGTTAATATTTCCATTCAAGAGAAGCCTATGCTGTTCTTCTGATCTACCATTATGATTCTATAAAAGCACTATCTCTTGTACTTTAAGATGATTCTGCTGTTGCTACTAACAGAGAGCACTGGTAAATCTTCAGTTACTTCCTGTAACTAAATTAGGCAGGGCAGGACCTGAAAACCTTGGCCAGTAACTTCTAACTAAAACAGTGGGAAACCCTCTAGTGTATCTTCTTCCACTCAAGGAAATCTAAGGATTGAAGGTCAGTTCCTTTTGCTCACAACCCTATAAGTCTCCTCATTTGAAGTCAGTTCCTAGAAGGGGCTATTGCCTTGAGGACATGTGGGCTGTGAGCATATATTGTCCAGGAAGGATAGAAGTAGAGGCAGAATGATGGAGAAGAGAATGTTTTCGGCTCTATAGCAAATGGTTCCCAAAATCTCATTTAGAGCAAGAAAATTAAAAAGTGTTGGTGTTGTTGAAGAAAAACTACCTAGGTCCTAAGTTAGAAGCTGTTCACACTCCCATCCCTTCCCTGTCTCACTACTGAGAAAACCAGTTCAGCTGCATCAGGTATTCATTCACTTTAGATGGAGTGGGGAATGTGTAGGAGGACATACCAATGGAAAGCAAGTTTTGTAAGAAAATACTGACCATGATGCTGGCCAGGATTGTGTGTTGGTGCAGCATATGTCAGAGCAGTGACCATGAACATCACTGTCATGGATATAATCTTCCTAGCATGATGAATGCCAGGAGGACCATGCAGTAAAAAATATTTGCGGTGTGTGACTTACCCAGCAGAATGGTGGATGGGAGTAGATGAGTTCCATGCCACCATGCTGTGATGCTGGCCTGTTTTTACCAGGAAACTTTGCAGTGGAGCAACACTGTGGAATCTATACTGACCTCCAAAGAGCAGCAAACTCTTTTCAGATGGTGGTTGTCTCTTCCTGCCCTGAAAAAAAAAGCAGGGACTGGAGGGAGAAGTGAAGACCACACAGCAGTGGAAAACACCTCTTTGTTGTAAAAAGAGCAAAAAATTAGCAAAAGACAAAACCCCAGTGTTTCCCATACGATCTGCAGCTCAGAATCTAAGTTTTGTAACCATGATCACTATTGCTATAACCAAATTTGTGGTTGCTTAGTTCTAGGGTAGAACTATTGTATTGTTAAGATTTATGACCAACACAATGTTGATCTGAAACCATGCTGTAGAAAATACCTATTTCTGTGTCCTTTAAGTGAACTTAGCTCATGTCTTGGTTTGGGCTGAAATAGAGTTAATATTCCTTTTCAGGGACTAGATGAGTGCTGTGTTTTGGATTTAGCTTTGGGTTTGGTATGGGAAGAATGCTGATAGCACACTGATGTTTTCAGCTGCTACTGAGACTTCAAGGACTCTCTGACTCCCCATGTTCTGCCCGTGCGCAAGGGCACAGGGAGCAGGGAGGGAGCACGGCCACAGCACCTGACCCTAATTGGGCAATGAAATATTCCATATCATGGAACGTCATGCTCACTATATAAAGGAGGGGTGGCTGGGAATGAGCTCTCTCGCTTCCAGGATTGCGATTGTGGGATCTTGGTATCTCGGGGTCGCTGGCCGGGAACGGGCTGGGGATTGGTCAGCGGGTGGGGAGCAATTACGCTGTACATTGCCTGTTTATATATTTCTTTTTTTTCCCCTATCATCGTCATTGTTCTCACTTTATTGCCATTATTAAACTGTTCTTATCTCAGCTGGCGAGTCTCCCTTCACCCCTCTAATCGCCTCCCCCATTCCCAGGCTGGGGAGGGGGAAGGGAGGGTGACCAGCTGCGGGGGTTGGTTGCCAACCAGGCTCAAACCACAACAGCTCATTATAATATGAAGACCACACCTCTGTATCTTAAGTTACCCCCCTCTTCATGAAGCCCCTCACCCTCTGTGCATGTGTACATTAATAGGTAGATCCTATGACTTTAAATGAAAGCAAGGAAAAAAACTGGCCAATAGATGATATTGTGATAAAATACTAACCAATAGTTATGCACAGAGCCACATGTTTGCGTGTTCAGAATCAAAAAAATATGGGGTGTGTGTGTATGTAACAGTGTGCTGGCCACTTTGGATGCCTAGCACCCTTTTCTGTGCAGAACTGTAACAAACACAAGTATCTCAACTCTGTGTTGATTGGCTCTTTGCAGGCCGGGTGAAGAGCCTTGGTTTTGGGACATCTTCCAGTCATTCAGGTTTTCTTCCCTCATCCCTGAAAGGCAGTATGTATCATCAGGGCAGGGAGCAGAGCATGTCTGTGTCCCTGGGAGCTCATGAACCCCGTAACCACCCATCTTCCACGCGCGTTCATCCTCTCCAGGCCTGTGTGTGCAATCCACATGAGCCAGCGCTCAAGCAGATGCTGTGCTCTAACCCCTGGGCTGCACCCCCATCCTGCAGCTGAAGGGACCGGGGTGGCGGTTTGCAGAATCCAGGTGCCTGCGTCGGCAACATTCTGTTTCAAAAAAGTGTCTCTCCATTCATTTCTACATTCACTGGACATTCCTATTTTGGTTGCAAAATGAGGCACTCAAAAGCAAGTGGTTTTGAATGGGGAGAGGAAGCTGCAGGGATCTCTGATTTAATTCGACAGTAAAACCTCTGGTTTTTTCCTCCTGCGTCGCGCGTGCCAAAGAGCAGGGTGTAAAAACACGGCCCTTCTTTGAAGCTCTTCGCTCAGAGCCTTCAACGTAGGAGCCCTGTGGGAGCTGAAATCAAGCAGGGGTAACCAAACCACCTTGTTCCAAACATCTGGAAACAGTCGTGTGATAAGTAATAGAAGAATTTTGCTTTCACTAAAAGTAATTAAACAATTACTTCTTAGGCTAAAGCTATTATTAGTACAATGATCCAAATTTTAAGAAAAGTAAAAGACTTTACTACTGGGAAAAGGGTGGAATTGATCTGAGGAAACACCAACCCAACAGCCCGCCCTCTTGGGATGCTCATCAAGATGGTCCATATCACAGGGCGGTAACTCCTTTGCAATGGAATAAGAACAGAATGGGCCATCTCTGGTATCCCTTGTCCTTGAGATAAGAGAGGAACTGAAACCACTGAGCCATAAAGACAAAGGAGCTGCAAATTGGCCCAGACTTGAAGGACAAGGTGTAGGTGACCACAGGGCTGAAGAAAGAAGATTGTAGAAGCCAGGAGGCGTGCCGAAGGTGTTGAAACCTGTAGCTGGGTGGATAAAAGGGGGTTTGAAACTTAAACAATTTGGTGAGCCTGGATGGAGCTGCGACTCCTCGGCCACCCCAGCGCTGCATTTGCTCTCTTACCTTAATAAAGATTCATTAATCCGTATTTGGATGTGATTGGCCTTAATCTACCTGTAACAGTCGGGCGGGTCAGGGCACCCCCCCGGGCTGCGGGGCTCCACTGTGCCCGTGGCCGCCTTCCAGCCCCCTCTCGGCGGCAGCCTCCTGCGAGACTTCCAGGGCACGGACACCCTCCCCCTCCCCCGGGAAAGGGTTTCGGGCTCGCAGTCCCCGCCTCGGGCGCCGGTGCCGAGGGGGCCGGCGACCCTCGGGGCGCGGTTTGGGTTGAGGGAGGCGGGCGGGCCCGCGCCGCCGGGGCCGCGGCAGGAGGAGCCCGGCACAGCCCCACGTCGCCGTGTTGCCCCGGCAACCGCTCCACGGCGGGAGGGGGGAGGGCGCTAGGGAACAGTCGCTCAGGCGTAAGGGCGGCGAGTGGGACGAGGGCCCAGTTCTGTGAGGGGCAGGAGTGGCCCCGGCCCCGGCCCCTGACCCTGACCCTGACCCTGACCCTGACCCTGACCCTGACCCTCTCCGCCATGGAGCTGGAGGATGATTTCGGTGAGGCGCGAGCTGGGGTCTGTGCGGAGGGAAGGCGGCCCCCCCCCCCCCCCCCCCCCCCCCCCTCCCTTCGTGGTCGATCTGGGCCCGTCTGTGCGTGCTGTGTCTGAGCCAGGCAGGCTCCGGTGAGGTTGTTGTTTGTTATAACTAGACCGCTGTTATATGTGTTTTCCAGACCAGGTGCGTTTCTGGTGTGGATGGGGTCTGGCCTTTAGGAAATAGCAGGGTAAATTCACTCGGTTTGGTTAAAGAGCTGCTCCTGTCCGTCATAAGCCTCGGCTGACTCCAGGCACATCTTCAGGGTCGCTGTGGGTTTGTGTTCGCGTGTGGAGTGGCTGGGGACCGGGATCTGGTTTGCACATGGCATTGCTGTGGTGCTGCTGAGGCTTTGCCCGCTGCAGCCGTTAACTGCATCCATTTACCTGATCAGGGCTGCTCCTGTGATTTTTTTTTTTTTTTGTTTGCTGTTTTATGTACTGTTGTGAGGGCTTTCCTCTTCCTCTGGTACTTGTCTGTCTCCTTTCTTTTACTGATAATGCACTTAGAGTGATCTTGTGTTGAGCCACTTCACTGAGAGAAGCCATTTCTGATTGCTCTTCTAGGGGCACTTGAACCAGTAGAGAGTTTGTCAGCTCTTCATGATTAAGTCTTTAGTTTCCATCTGTTCTAATGACCTAATCTGGCTGATGGAGGTGAGAGATGCTCACAGGTGACAGAGCTGACAGCAGCACTGCACAGCTGAGATGGAAAGAAGCGTGAGGTCTGCCCTTCCTTCCTCACAGCATGAAGTCTGCTCACTCTGACCTGTGGAACATCTTAACTAGTGGTCAGCCTGTGGCCTGACAGAGTTCCCTGACTTGGCTGTTGAGGCAATTGAGCATCAACGCATGTGTAAGAGAAGGGGAGAGGCTAAAACAGCAGCGGCCCATACTTAGATCTGTTTAAGCTACTGCATAATCCTAAATGTGCTAAAAGCCTGTGCAAAAAGAGGGGCAGAGCAGAAAAGATGAAGGAAGCCTGGTCTGGCTCCCTGGTGTGTACCCCACAAACAGACCCACAGGCAGCAAAGGGGATCTGTGTCATCTTCTGGCTGTCTCTCTTCCTCACAGAGAATATGGAAATATGCTTTTTTAAACAGATATGTTAATATGTTAATGTATTTTATCTATAGATAGATAAAAAATATATATCACATATGCATGCACTCATGCTGCTTCACTGTTCATTCTTAGGTGTTTTAGCTGGTTTAGTAACTCCTCAGCTTCTAAATAATTGTATGGCTTATGAAAAATTTAATTTAGAAGTCACGTGCACCATGTTAGGCACACTGCTTCGTCTGAAATGAAACTAAATTGCCTGGCATTCCTCCTCCAGCAAAAGTAGCTGTTGATGAAAAAAATACTTGGTTCAGACTGACAATGTTCCTGAAGGCACTGATGGGTGTGTCATCATCCCACTGATTCTCCTTTGAGATAGCTGGAAAAGTACTGCTGTTCTCATTCACTTTGAGTGTGGTTACCTACCTAATATGGTAATTTAAAGAGTTGTTATGCTCAGTGCTACTGACTATTACCTGTTTTGACTAACATCCCAGTCACCACAAACTTCAAAATGAATTTGTTTGGGTATGCAAAACAAGTGCCTGCCCTAATGAATGGTTTCAAACTAAGAACAACTGGTTTAACTCCCTGAGATCATAGCACTGATGTGATGGTATGTTTTTTTTCTTGCTTAGATATATTAATGATGCTAGATCTTGTCTTTCTAATTAGTTTTTTTTCTCTCTGTTTTTCTGGTTTACTAGATGTTTTGGATCCAGAGAGATTAATACAATGTCCATATAATAAACATCATCGAATCAGAGCCTGTCGGTTTCCCTATCACCTTGTAAAGTGTAGGAAGGTAAGCTGGACTGCCAAACACGGCACTGAATGGGAGCAATTATGTGCGTGAAAATATGATGTGCATGTTCTCATTCTTGTTGCATTTTCTGGCTGACTGGAGTAAGTTCCCAACAAATATCCTTGTTTATCCTTTATTTCATATAGCGTTATTATTTGTTTAGTAATAGCTTCAAGCATGTTATTTTACCCAAGACCGGTGTGGCTCTGTTGGGATAGAGATTCTTCACAGTTAGGTCAGGGACGAAATTCTGGTCTCTTCCAGCAGTTCACATGGAGGCCAGGGACATTTTTCCACTTAAAGTTGAAGAGAGAACTCCCGTCTGAGTTGTGTGCACCCCTTCTGGCTAGTCAGGGTAGAAGTGTTGTGATGTTGCAATTCATTAAGTGCTGGAGATGCAGCTGCCTAGCAGAGGGGTTATTTGAAGGTTTCACTAGTAACTATTTAATGTCCATCTGCAGAAACTGCACATCCTATGCTCAGCACATATGGGAGAGGTTTTTTCCCCCCTCTCCATCTTTTATGCAGAATTTGAATACAAATAATTTATTAGGAAGCATTCTTTCCTATTCTGTGTTGTCCTGATCATTTGTTTTCTTTAAACCTGTCAAGTGCTAGCATATGACTGGGTTTTTGCTGAGACCTTTTAAAACCCAATTGTTCCTCTTTAAGATTACCAAGAAATTTGCCAGAGTTTTTAAAATAGTGTAACAGTACTGTGCCTTCCAGTTAAGATGCAGTTGTGCGGTGTGTGTCCTGGTATCAATACTTATAAACAGTTCACTCTGGTAGAGCTAATGCCTTGAAAAATATTAAGTAACAAATGAAAATAGTGGGCAGAGCTAAGTGGCAAGTACCTCCATCTTTCCAACATTCAAGAGGGCTGAAATGTTTCTTGCTGACCCCCTGCAAACTCTTACAAGAATGTGCATGTGAGCTAGGTGAACAGTGTTGGCAAGTAAGCTTTTAACCATGTTGGTTTTGTCTTTGTGTTGCATAACTGATGACCAGACAGTTTTGGCAAGCCTAGTTAGGAGGGTAAGGTAAGATAGTAATCACCAGTCAGACAGTTGGTGTCTGTAAACCATTAGCAGAAGGGCTCAGGGATTATCATCTCATCCATCTGAAGATGCCACTGTGTGACTATTTACTGTGGCAAGCATCTGGGCTGAGGTTGTCCTTCTTCCTTGGTAATTTGCTGACTTTCCTTTGTGTACCCTATGCATAAAATCCAATTAAATGCTTCCACCTGGCTCAGCTTCCTATTGATTTGTGCGGAATGCAGCCCAGCCACACAAATGGGGACACTGCAAGCAGAACAAGTTGAATCCTCTCAGCCTGAACTGCATAGAGAAGCTTCTGCTACATGGCCAGAATAGCTTACTCAGGCTAGTTGAAGCAAACAATGGACACGAGGGCACAGCAACCCTGGCTGTATAGACCAGGCAATGACAACTGCCATGGATGTGCCTGCAGCCTGTGCTGCAGTCCTGTATCGGCCACAGTGAGCAGCACCTGTACAAGGCACTTCTGCCCCTGCATTTGCTGCAGGCGCCAGGTCTGACCCCTGACCAGCAGAGCTGCATCAGCCAGAACCAGGCAGGCACTGGTACAGTGGCACAGTTGTGCTTTTCCCAATAAAGGCTGTATCTTTGCAGGGAGTGGGCTAATTTACCATAGTGACAGCTGAGCGCTTCCAGAGGAACCTGTGTCTGTGATAATGTTGTACTTGAATGTTAATCCTGCAGTGCTGAAGTCTGCAGGTGGAATGCTACCAAACCCCCTAGCTGTTTTGAAAGGTTTAAGGAATTTCTCTGCCTTTGTGCCTGCTTATTTAAAAAATACCTGAATGGTTTAGATTTGCCTGACATCTCCCCCACATTGTTTTTAAAATAGTTTAATCTGTGCTTTAAACCATGCAGCCATATTTCCAGTGTTGCAGCAAATTATGGGGAGTTTAGCTGAGGGTGTATTTCATTTCAGTGAACTCAAGGGTGGCTGAGCTTCACAGTGAATTGTGGTTTAAAGAACAGTCATGTTAGTTTCCCCTTGCATTTTTAGCAAATGTCCGAACAATATATTGCCATTCCTTGTTTAGTCTTGTTTTTTTTTTTTTTTTCAAAGTGATATCACAAATATTCTTGTTTGTTTTTTTTTTTTTTCTATGGGCTAGCAAGAAATAAGTGAACTTGAGAGATATGACACGTGATTTTGTTTTTTTCTTGTCTAGAGCTACCCTGAAGTTGCAAAGAAATTGGCCACATGCCCCTTCAATGCTCGCCATCTAGTTCCTCAGGCTGACCTCAGCAATCACATATTGAAGTGCAATGACAAAGGGTTAATTGAGCAAGATATAGGTAAGAGAACCACCTGTGCCCTGAGATGTTTGTTCACCCTGGGGACTGAGGTCTCCTGTTTGTGAGGCTAGCTCATAGAATAACTGAAAAGTGGGAGCCAAATTACTGTCTATAGTTTTGTGTGACGTAGCATCTTTGGGGAAACTTGAGTCTTACTTGCTTTGATTTATTGGTTACATTCATGAGACTATTGCAGAGACTATTGCAGAAGCTCCTGGTAGGCCTTGCACATATTTTGTTACCAGGCTTGTTGAATAAAAAGGTTTTACACTAGACTGTGCATGTTGAAGTACCTCCAGCAGGAGCTGGGGTGCTTTAATGACCACAAGGACAGGCCTGTCTTCTTCTAGAGCTGATCTCCCTTTGTTGAGGCTTGACCACTGATGCCATGTGAAAAGTTCATTTCTACCAGACAAGTATCTGAGCTATGGAAACCCCTGCAGCTGTTCTCCAGGGCAACCTGCATAGTTCACCAAGAGATGGGGCAGCTCCTCTTCCAAGCTGCTCTTCTGCTGCACTTGCTTCATCTGCCCTACAATTAAGACTTCAGTCTTCTGCCCAGTGAGACAAGGTGGGAGGGGGGCTGTCCAAAACGCCCAAAATATTAGGAAGGCATCCTGTGCTGTGCAGTGTCTTTTCCATCCCCTGCAGTGGCTCTTTAAGTATTGCCACGCTGAAGACCAGATATATCGTTTTCTTTATTCTGTAGAGTTGCACCAAGGCTAGCAGTGATGCCTGCATTCATGCAAGCAGGCTTCCTCTTCACTCAAGCATTCCTGCCGCAAAGTTCCAGGGAGCAGAGTCTTCTCATGTTCACTGAAAAAGGCTAATTCAAAGTTGCTTAATTTCATATCAACACCTGGCTCTTGGGTGTACCTAACCTGTTTGCATTGTGCAGGATTTCCTCTAAAGCCAAGAGGTGTTTTACAACTTGATCCAAAGCACTTAATGTCTCTGAAGCAGGATTGACTGCCAGTCACTGAGTTTTCTCTCTTCCTGAAGTGAATCAGTCCTCTGGCTTCCAAAGAGAGCAGATGAGTGCTACGAGCACATGGCAGGCACCTCCATGTGATGAAGACTGGGAAACAGGTGAGGAACTTCCCCATCTGCCACACTGCTGCTTTCTCCCTGGTCCTGTCCTTCCCCTCCACTTGGAACCGTGTGAATCCAGAGATGCTGTTCACTTAGGTCTCGCTTGTAGGATACTTTGCTTACACTCATTCCTAAAAACACACATCTCTCCACCCAGCAGGCTTTTGGTATGGAGAACTGTTCAACATGCCTGCCATAACCAGTATGGAGATGTCTTCCAAGCATCTGCTCTTTCTCAGATCAGCTTTTGTACCATATGTGCAATGATGACAACGAAGACATAATTTTTAAGTTCCTTAGTTAAATGACAGTGAAGCAAACCCATTCATCATTAGACCAACTTTTATTCCCTCTTGAACATGCAGAAATATGGCAGAGATATTCCTGATCTGATAGTAGTTGCTGGAGTTTCTTAGTTCTGAGCCACAACATTCCTTTCCTTTTGCAGAGTCGTTGGAGTCAGATTGTCCTTTTGTTTGGGGCATGACCAATTCTGGCATAAACAGGTAGTGAATGCGAGTTTGATTCTTGTCAACAGTGTTTTGTGTGGAGGAGTATTGCAACTTGCTCCCTACTCAGCCTTGATGGATGGATGTGGGCTGACTCTGCTGCTGTACAAACCCTGGGAGGAGGGATACTGATTAACAGTGAATGTTGTTAGGATGCTGGTTCAGTGTTACTTGCTGTCTTGTGTGACTGGCTGGTATAAGAAAAGGAAGCCCTTAGGAACAGAGATGCTTCCTGCTCTTGTATGCATGTGGCAGGGTGGTCTTCCTGCCTGTGGCCTGTGTTCTGATCCTGCTGGATGTCTGGGCAGTGTGCAGGGGAGAAAGGTGCTGTGCCTTTCTGCTGATGTTGGAAGTGTGGCCAGGTGCCTCTTCCTGGAGCCCTTTCAAATGGTTACCGAGCTTCTGTTGAGCTAATAGCTAGCAGCCTCTTGTGACCTCCTGTCACCTTAGATTTGGCAGATATGCTGGCACTAGGCCCCTATATTAGCAGAAATCTCCCCCTCTTGTCCTTTACAAAGCAAAATCACAGTGTGGGTTTGGGGGAGTGAGGAGTTTAATGGCCAGCTACGATGTGGATGGAGCAGCCTTGACTGGTTTCTTTGATCTGATAGGCTGTACACAAGATGTGATGGCAGCACCAGGCTTGCCAAAGCATATTTTAAGGTTTGTCCAAGCCTGTATGCAGCAGCAGTCCTGCACTTGACAGCTCTGCAGTTCTGCATGAGCTCAACCCTGATATACCTCTCCTTCCATAAGGGGTGACAGCCGTGCTATCTCATTTCACTTCTTACGCTTCTTGGGGAACTTTCTAGTGGTTAGAGCACATATAGCTCTTCTAAGCACCACCACCTCTGAGTGGCAAAGTTGAATCCCCTTATGTTCCTGCTCTCCTCCATGCTATAGTAAAATGCATAAATTTGAGCAAGTGCATTTGTCAGGAGAAGTAACTGAAGTCTTTCAGTTTCAGTACCACCTTTGAACAAAAGATTTGCTTGCCTGCAAGAGTACGTGTCCCTGAGTCCTTGCCGGATGCCTTATCATTGTAAGTACTATGCATATGGTTTTGGTACTGTGGCCTCTGTGGATTGTGACAGTTGCTGAAATCTCTGGCTGCAGCAGTGCATTCTGGCCAGCGCTGCACGGACAGGAGAGGTAGTATATAGCACCTGCCTCCTTTGAGAGCAGCTTCTGAGGGAATCTGATGCTTGGATCATCCTCTGTATCCTTTCTTTGAAGCATCCTCTATATTTATTTCATATTCTTGACAGGCCCCTCATTACAGTGGTCCAGTTTAAGCAACTGCTTCCCAGCCACCTTGGCTGTATCTCTAAACAAGTCCTTCTACACTATCTACACTAACTCCTTTCACCCCCCACTTTTGCCTGATTAAACCAAATTATTTCCTTGCTATGTGCAACTCTGCTGTCAGACACAACTAAGTCAGAGCAGAGGTAAAACTAGGGCTGCTTAAACCAGTACTACTGGGGGAAGAAAAAAATAATTAAATTGCATCTGGAGGTGGGAGAGAGGGAGCTTCTGTGTTGCTGTCTGATGCTGAAATCACAGACCATTATTTGCCATGAGCAGCAAAGTGAAAGCTTAAAGGTGCTTGTAGATAAGCCTTGTTGCCAAGGTGACAAGTGCTGCTTCAGCAAAGGCCATTCTCACTCAGGGGAGTAGAGGAAATTCTTATATTTTTCTCTGTCTTGTGCAAAAAACATGTCTTGCTCTTTTCGGAGTTTGGAGTATTAGCATCTCTTTCCCCTGGAATTCCATTCCCCCAGCACTAGATGACTCCCTTTCTAGGACAGTTGAGCTCCTGCTGATGGCAGATATTCTCTGAATCTGATGACAGGACTCTGTAGACTTGGCTGTTGCTGCATGATGTGTTTTTGCAACAGCTGAGTTGGTAAAACCATCCTTGGTTGCCAAATCTTTCCCAAGCATTCATTTCATAAATTACCCTCATCTTCATTTGGTCATCTGTATTACTGTTAAATGGATCGATAAATTTGCACACCTTCCCTCCTCAGACAGCAGTGAGTAGTTAATAGAAAAAAACACAGGGATTAGCAAGTCTCTGTTGTTTCACTTGTGAATGGCAGTGATGATGATCTGTGAAGTTCTGTTTGCTCCAGTGATTTGGAAACAGCAGGAGAGCTCTTTGGAAGTGATGATGGCTTTTAAGGGGTGGGAAGGGGGCTGATTTTAAGTAGAGGAGGTTAGGTTCCTAATCAGAGAAGTGATAGTGGGAAACAGAACATGGGGGGGGGGGGGGGGGGGGGGGGGGCTGTTGCATATACCACTAAAATCTTGTCCCTAGCTTGATGCTTGAAAACAAGCATGCACTTTTGCAAAAGAGGCCCTTTCAAAGTTGTGTTCTTCAGATGTTTTGTGCTAACCGTCCATGAAGGGATGCAGTTATGCTGGGGACATGAGGTAGAGGAAATGCCCTGCAAAAATGGCAGATTTGTGTGAATTCAGGGGTTGGTGTAGCAGGAACTATTATAGCCCCATTTCAGTGGAAGTCAGGAACCACACAACAGAGGAATTTCCAGGAATTTCTGCCCTTATCTTGGTTTGGGCTGAAATAGAGCTAATACTCCTTTTCAGGGACTAGATGAGTGCTGTGTTTTGGATTTAGCTTTGGGTTTGGTATGGGAAGAATGCTGATAGCACACTGATGTTTTCAGCTGCTACTGAGACTTGGACTCTCCGACTCTCCATGTCCTGCCCGTGCGCAAGGGCACAGGGAGCAGGGAGGGAGCACGGCCACAGCACCTGACCCTAATTGGGCAATGAAATATTCCATATCATGGAACGTCATGCTCACTATATAAAGGAGGGGTGGTTGGGAATGAGCTCTCTCGCTTCCAGGATTGCGATTGTGGGATCTTGGTATCTCGGGGTCGCTGGCCGGGAACGGGCTGGGGATTGGTCAGCGGGTGGGGAGCAATTACGCTGTACATTGCCTGTTTATATATTTCTTTTTTTTCCCCTATCATCGTCATTGTTCTCGTTTTATTGCCATTATTAAACTGTTCTTATCTCAGCTGGCGAGTTTCCCTTCACCCCTCTAATCGCCTCCCCCATTCCCAGGCGGGGAGGGGGAAGGGAGGGTGACCAGCTGCGGGGGTTGGTTGCCAACCAGGCTCAAACCACAACAACTATAAGCATGTGTCTTGGATCCACAAAGCAATGCTACATATTACTGTTCTCAGGATTATATGGTGACTTATGTGGAACAGAGTGATTTCTGTGGAACTTCTGCTAGGCATTTGGGAGAACATTTGGTTCTTTGCTGGGGAGGTGCAGAAAACTTTCTTTGCAGTAAGCTGTGGTCATAACATCTGTAGCTAGCAAAGTCATATTTGAGGGCCTGTTACAGCCTAGAGAGCATAAAGTAATTTCTGAGAGTTTCTCCAGCCTGTGAAGAGGCTGAGACTTCCTACTGCATAATATTTAATTAAAATCATCTGGATCAGCCAAACCTAGAAATACTTTTTCTGTGAATTAACATTTTATCTTGTCAGCATCTGAGTTTGTCCATATAGGATATGTAAGTGGACACTTTTGGTTTAAAACTACTTTGTCATTTACAGAGATTTCTGTTTTCTTCCTAGAAAGCATCCTGATCGCACCTTTGCAACTTCAAGCCTTAAGCCTTAACTTTATCATGTGGGTGCATGGTGGTTCAAGTCATACAATAATGGGGAGTCCTCTGTGAATTCCGTACAATGTGCATAATACCAAACAAGTGAAGTTTAAAGAGTACATTTAAGTACTTGTCTAGTTTCCATTAGAGTTGTGTAGTTTTCTAAGACTTGAAACACGTTTGAGAATTCTAACATAACTGTTCTTTGTTGGGGGGGGGGGGGGGGGTATGGCAGGGAAGGAGGAGGCAGGAATAGTTTAAATCACTAAAAGTACGTTTGGGACTCTGTAAATATTTGGATCCAGCAGTATATTTCTAAAAATTGATGTAAAGTACAAAATGGAATCTAAATATACAAATATGAAGAACTTAGAAACCAGATGTGGTACTTGTCTAGAAAGAAATCAATGCCTTTTACATCTTTAAAAGAACATTCCTCAAAATACTGAATTTCTACCATTTGTATTACTACCAATATAGAATAATACATGTTGACTAAAATGTGCAAAATTAGGTTTATTTTAAACTTTGATTCTCTCAAGATTCTTGTTGACAATATGAAATAAAAAGGTTATGAATACTCTTGGACTCATTTTATATTTCTAAAATGACGTCTGCAGTGATTTGTTACACTCCTGTTAAGTAAATGCTTACAGAGTAAGCCCTTCATTCAACCTCTATTTGATTTTTTTGTTGTCACTCTGAATGAAAGTGGTGACAAATGTCAGCTCTCTGATTGTTTCTGGTTTGACTGCATTATAATTTTACAGATAGATGCCATAATTGGGTCCCATTATCCTAAGCTTATTTAATTGCCCGCTGGTGAAAGACTGGCAATACTTCGTGCAGTAACAGTCTGCTTTTTGTTGGGTCTTGCCACTTGCCTGCACTGCAGGGGTGAGCTTCAAGTGTACCTGCTCCCAGGAGGCTCATTATCCCAGGCCCCAGCTCTTTGTCAGGTTGAGTCCTGGGAGATCACTGTTCTCCAATAGCCCTGCCTTCCTGGAAAGGACCAGATGGGCTTGGAAGAACATCCCCTGGCCACAATAATCAGGGGATGAGGGACCACAAGAAGTGGGTTTGTCTTGTAGAGTAGGTGTTGCCAACAGCTGACAGAGCTCTGACATCTGAAATCCCATATCCTTCTGGGCTACTTCCTCAAGCACATCCTGCACATGCCACTGCCTGTGAAGAGCAGAAAACATCATTTTACTGTTCCCTGCAGTGATTTGGGAATGTAAGATTAGCAGGCCATAAGGATGTAAATCACAAGGATGACCCTCCTCCTGCATTATGACTATTTAAAATCCCAGTATCATCTTACTGTGGGGCTGTTCTTACTGTTTTGTATATACTACAGGACAAGGAATATTTTTAAAAGTATGCCAAATGGCACCTACTCTTGAGTTGTCAGAGTCAGGGCTTTCATGTGACTATCACGGTAGTCACAGCTGCATATTCCTTTATTAAATCCTCAGTGTCTCTTGGGATGGGCAGGCTGTGCAGTGCTGCAGCCTTCACCCCCTTCCCAAGACGTAGATGTGTCCCTTGCCAGGAGAAGCTGATGCATGTGGGGAAATACCATCTGCTTTTGGCTGACTAGGGAGGGTCTGGCAGCACATGCCTGGGTGACTGCCCTAGCCTGAGTCTCTTGGTAGCTCAGCAGTGCCTGTGCCCACTGCGAGCACTCCTGTGAGTGCACCCTGCCTGCCAGGCCAATTCTGCCTTGTCTGAGTTAACAGCTCTGTGGCAATAGGACTGCTCTGACTAGAAATGTCTATGGAAAATCAGGATAGAAATGGTTTTGTGTTTGCAGTTGCTATGGGTGATTCAGGAGGGAGGGAAGGAGACAGCATTTACCTGTAGGCACAGATCCCTGTGTTGGGGAGCCTGGACACACTGGAGTGCCTTGTTGTTTTTCCTGGTGCCCACAGCCCTCTCTGGTGTCCGATGGGTCTCCCCACCCCTGATTTGCACCAGGCCACAGAGGTGCAGCAGCTCTGCTCAGTGGTGAGGTGCAACCCATGCTGGTGGTGCAGGTCCTGAACCCACAGACATCTCATGCTCTGCTTTGTCCCTGGGGCTCACTGTATGGCTCTGCAGAGGCTTTCTTGCACTGAAGGGCTCAGCCTGCAGTGCAGGACACTCCTGTGCTGTTGCTGTGTCCCCGCGGGGTTGGAGCACAGCCAGGTGCACAGGTTTGTGTGGGTCAGTGGGGAACCAGGTTGCTTGCACTTCGTGGGCTCAGTGCTCCCCATGGGCTGTGCTCTGGGCAGCGCAGCCAGCTCCCGACAGTCCCCGCTCTGGGGGCCCTGGCTTGCTGGGTCTTTGCTGAGTCATACCCTCCTCCACACCTTGGTGGCCTCATCTAGGGTACCCAGCACCTCTCTGCTTGGCCACTGGCTGCAGATGGAGCACGGACACCATGTGCAGGGTCTTCTGCCACTTCCCACACTGTCCCTGCTGTTCTCATCTGCAGGATGCAGCCCACGCTTTACCTCAGCAGAGCTGCAGTCCACTGGCACGGGAAAGTGTCCTTTCTCCAGCCTTCCATCTCCTCCCACCAGTTCCAGAGCCCTGAGGAAGTGATAAAGTCCCTTCTCTCCCCGCTCGCATGGCCAAAGCTAAGTTTGTTTGCTTTTCACTTCATTGTGTTGGGGGAAGAAGGGGGAGCTCTACCTTCAGCTGCACATCCTTTCAGAGTCAAGGTCTGGGTGGATGCCTTTGGTTCTTTCAGATTGCCCTTCTGGCACTCAGCAGTTTGCACCCCTGAGGCCTCTGGGCCCTCTGTTGCTGACTCCAGAAATCCATGCAATCCTCTGGTCGCAGCCAGTGGCACCCCTTTCTCCTCCTGTTTCCCTCCACTTTCCCCATGATCTAGACCTGACCACAGTGCCTGTAATCCCACGGCGATGCACTCGTGGCTGCAGCATGTCTGCGTGCATGGTTCTCATCCAATGTCTCTCCCTCCCCCAGCAGTTCAGACTGTGCTCTTTCCTCAGTGCTGTCTTCAGCTAATTGGGATTTGGGGTTGTTGCATTTGTTCCCAGGTGATGTCCAGGAGACCAGCACTGTCAGGTGTCCTCCCATCAAAGGTGGCAGCAATCCTTGTTACTGCAAATAAGCAGCTTTGAATATGATCGGTTAAATCCTGATTAGTCACTCTTGTAACCTAATCATCACACGTAAATACAGAGTCCTAGCCTGTATTGGCTCCCAGCCAGCGCAAAAGGGGAGAGGGTGAGAGAAAGGGAGGTAATACAGCAGAGTTTCCATCATGAGGGTGTTCATGAGCAAACATAAGGTGCTGGAGGTGGGAGAGAAGGGAACAGGTCTACCCGGTGGGGCCAGGAAACACCAGGTGCAAAAATACCCCTTCACACATATTGTGGAAGGTGAACAAACTCCTAGTGTTGTTTTGCCTTTGGAGTTCAGGGTCCACCTCCTTTGTTTGTGCTGTGGTCAGGAAGGCTAGAAGAGAAGAGCTGGGTGGTGCTGGGGACCCGGCTGTCCAGGGACTCTCCAGTTTTTGTGTTCTAGGTGTACCCCCCACTTTGCAGCAGCAGTTCAGCCTGAGTTACGCTGAGTTGCATGTGCGGTTTCCTTTAGCTCCCCAGGGAACCACCTCCTGCTTCTGACCTTCAGGTTCCAGCAGGAGAGACCGCCTGGGGTTACTGAAGGCAGCACAAAGTCTCCTTTTTCTGGCAGACCAGGCTCTGGCCCCAGATCTCAACTTTACAACCAAACCACAGTTAAGAAGTCATTTCCCCTTTCCTGGATTTCAGTCCAGGTTATAACTCATAAAACCAAAAGCATGGTTTCATCTTAGAGATCATTTACAAGTGCTTGCTCAGCAATAGGCTGGAGATCAAAGCAGCGGCTGCCTGGGCTGCCCACACAGCTGCAGAGCTGAGCATATTTCCTTCCGTAGCCAAACCATGCAGATGGGGTGTCTCCTGATGAGCCCCGACATGCACATTCCAGAGCAGATAGATTGAAACAGCCCATTTGCCTCCTGTCCAGTGTCTGGGAAGGACCTTCCTACACAGAGTTCCCAGCCCTGCCAGCGTGGGTGCCTCGTTGCAGCTCTTCCCCGTTCTCTGGCATGCACAGGTCACCGTGCGAAGGACCATGGCCATCATGTCTCATCCTTGATGCTGCGATGTCCCTGTCCTGGGAATGCTGCCCTGAGGCGCTGGGATCGCCGGTGTCACCCACCCGCTGCCCAGGCAGCTGTGCCTGGCCCAGCCAGCCCCCGCCACTTGGGCACCAGACCAGACAGGCACTTGCACGCTCATCCCAGAGCCCTGTCACCAAACCGGGCGGGAACCCAGGCTCTGCAGACAAAGTCCCTGAGGATTTCCACAGGGTTTTTCCCACCTGCGACTGGCCAGCCTGGCCGGGCCCTCGTCCCTGCCCGTGGGGAGGGGATGCACCAAGCCAGCTCCTGCGTCACTTTGGAGGTACCGTGATGGCCAAGGGCAGCAGCACGCCTTTGGTATGGCCGGCACAACTAATGTCTCGGACAATATACCTGCCCTATATTTTGCACGTCTGATAGCATCTGAAGTCTAGCCAGACTGTCATTTCTACTGCCCATTTCCAGAATGTTGATACGACTTACTGTTCTTCTCTGGTACCCAGTCGCTGTTTTATTCCACCCCCCCACTTCGCTCTTAGCTTTTCACTTCCCTAAATTAAGGTTCAAAGGGAAGTGGTAGAAGAACAAGAGCCAAATGATTGCCTGGGGAGTAGGAGGGCAGATTGCTGCCAAGAATCCCTCCAGGACAGAAGCAGCTCATGCTTGCTGGGTACAGAGAGAGCTGGCATTGGGCTGAGGGGCTGTGGGGGATGGGAGGGGTGCAGGGAAAGGCTTCAGCACCCAGAGGCCTTGGACAAGACAAAACAGTGAGGCAGAAGCACCCTCTGCAGACCAACCATAAAAATCTTTATATTATTTACACAGCTATTGTGAAAAACATGATACCATCACCTTTGGATTGTGTTACAGCTCACAGATTTTTTTCTTCCTCAGTTGAGGCATTCAATATTGCTACTATAGTCATGGGTGGTGTTACCATCGGTTTTTACTCTAAAGGAGGTTTTGAATTTGAACACATATTAGTTGTCATCGTGCATTATAGGGTTAACATTTGGAAACTGTATACATACATAGGCATACCTATTAAGCTTTGGTTACTAGACAAGTACTAACATCCTCTAGTACCTACCTGTACTATCTTCCTTCTAAATTAATTCTATCCCATTCAATCATAATCTATTATTCATTATCTCCCCCTCTAATCTCCATATACATTAAACAATTCACTCTGATTTTAACTGCTAAAGCTCTTTGTTTCAAAACTTTTACCCCTCTTATAGCACACTGCTGAGGCAACAACACTGCTTCTAGGCTTGAGCTGCTGCTTATACTGAAGTCCTTTAGGGACCACCCTAGAAGATAAACTGTGAAGACCTGTCTCAGCAGACCGCCAAAGGCCAGTTTATACCTGCATCACTGGATGAATTTTTAACTTTTGGCATTCTTTGCTGGATATTTTCTGCTTTAATAAGTGTTTTGTAGCTGTGGGGAACTTCAGTTACTACAAAACGTAACTGCAGGAGAAAGATAATCTAACCCTTTGATCTCACATTTTAAATCCACAATCTCATTATCAACAGCCATATTTTGCCCTCCCAGTTCTTCCTTCACTATCCTTCAGCAGCACCTAGGGGAAAGGTTGAGCAGGACACCGGGGCTCCAGCCCCCACCACCCACATCGCAGCAGGTGGAGAGCAGGGGAGGGGAGGGTCTGGCCCCTCTCCAGTGCCAAAGAGGGAGCAGGCAGAGCACGCGGAGTCCTGGGTCTCCTCCCCACAGCACAGCTCCCACCTGCACCCAGCTCCTCCCCACCCCCCTGTTCCACCACCACCATTTCTACCACCCTTTTGAGCCACCACCACTTCCAGAGCCATACAAGCCTGCAGGGTCACCACCAGTGTCACCAGTGAGAGCCATCACTGGGAGCGCCTGGCCTGCAGCCAGCACTCACTGTCCCCCACCTTCCAGCCCCACAGAGCAGTGGGACCCACTTCCTACCCAGAGACACAGACTGGGGGCTACTCCCCAGCATCCCTGTGACCCTCTCCCTGCTGGTGCCTTCTCTGCAGAACCTTCCTCCTCTCCACTCTCAGTGAACCGGGAGCAAAATCCAACCCGTGTTTCCCATCTCCTTTCTCCTCCTCGCACAACCTCCCTCCACACACGGGACTTCCCTGGTTTATGCCTCCCTGTCTTTCCATCTGGCTCTGCATTCCCCCACTTGATGGAAGCCTGAAGAGCTGGTCATCTGCCACCACACACCTTCCTGCACGGGCAAACAGCGGGACAGATGCAGGAGGAACAAGAGCCACCCAGCTGCCTCCTCTAGTGTCCCTCCCGTGCAGCTGGTGGCTTTGGATCCTTCTGCTACCCAGGCATTTTTACAAGCTGCCCTTGTCCCGCACTAGTTTTGATACCAGCTGAGCTTCGGCTTTGACCCTTGAGTAACATCCATCCCTTCCTCTGGGGTAGCTGACCCCCCGCTTCCCCTTTCTGTGAACTTCCTTGTCCTGTGAACATCGGAGCTCAGGCAGGGGTTCCCCGTTTGGCCAAGCCAAACCTGCCTCCATATTTCAAATATTGGAATTTGTCCAGCTTGTTTAACTATTTGGGCACATTACATATTAGTCAAGGTAAAAAAAAACTTTGTTTTGGTTGACAAATCTTTATTCCCATAACACATCCCGTGAATCATATCATGTCCCACCCTTGCCCCTTTGTGTATAAAATACTGGTAAAAAGGTTTTTTCCCAGAGGCAAGTTAATTTCCTGTGCTCCTACTGTGGCACACTGTAATGACCGAGGCTTGGAGGGCATTACACTAAACGTGTGAGATGCCACAGATGCTCTTGTAAATCATTTTGGACTTAACATGTAATACAAATTTGAAGTTGCACATCATCAAATCCAGTTATCTAAGTGGTTCCTTCAAGCCCCACATTTCACCTTTAGTCATAGTAAACAGCAAGGACACTTGGCTTACAGAAGGGAAATTAGCCTACACAAGAACAAGAAGACTCTAAAAGAGCAAAATAAATGAACAGAGAAACATGTATTAAAATGTCAAGCTAATGTCAAAAACAGAACAAAAATCCAGTTCCAATAATTTTATGGCTCCTAGCACAAGCCAAAAAAGGAAACAAATTTGCTAGAGTCCCACCTTGGTGTAAGACAAAACCTGCTACACCAGGTCACAACTATATCAACTTTAAACACTGTCAAATGACATCCTTTAAACACTAAAACATAAAGTTGTAAAATCAAGGTGGAATAGGACCAGTTTATCAGAACAGAAAAAAATTGCTAGGGATCACAGAATCATAGAACAATTTGGGTTGGAAGGGACCTCAAACACCACCCAGTGCCACCCCCCGCCCCGGGCAGGGCCCCCTTCCCCCAGCCCAGGGGGCTCCCAGCCCCGTCCAACCTGGCCTTGAACCCTTCCAGGGAGGGGGCACCCACAGCTGCTCTGGGCACCCTGGGCCAGCGCCTCACCCCCCAAACAGGGAACAATTTCTGCCTTAGATCTCATCTAAATCTGCCCTCTGTCAGTTTAAAACCGTCCCCCCTCATCCTATCCCTACACCCCCTGATCCAGAGTCCCCCCCCCCCTCTCCTGCCCCCCCTTTAAGCCCTGGGAGGCCGCTCGAAGGTCTCCCCGGAGCCTTCTCTTCTCCAGGCTGAACCCCCCCAACTCTCTCAGCCCGGCCTCCCAGGGGAGCTGCTCCAGCCCCCCCACCATCTCCGTGGCCTCCTCTGGCCCCGCTCGAGCAGCTCCGTGTCCTTCTGCTGTTGGGGGCCCCCGAGCTGGCCCCAGCACTGCAGGGGGGTCTCCCCAGAGCGGAGCAGAGGGGGGAATCCCCTCCCTGGCCCTGCTGCCCCCCCTGCTCTGGCTGCAGCCCAGGGCACGGGTGGGTTCTGGGCTGCCAGCACACGGGGCTGCCTCACGGGCAGTTTTCCCCCCACCAACCCCCCCAGTCCCTCTCCTCGGGGCTGCTCTCCAGCCACCCCTCACCCAGCCTGGGTTTGTGCTGGGGATCGCCCCGACCCACGGGCAGGACCTTGCACTTGGCCTTGTTGAACTTCATGAGGTTTGCATGGGCCCACCTCTCCTGCCTGTCCAGGTCCTTGCAAGGACCCCTTACAAGGTGCCCAGCTGATCTCACACAGGACGATCTTGCAAGTTCACAGCATGCCAAATTTAGTAGGTTTCATATTTAAAATAAATTTAAGGTAAATTTAGTTTTAAGATTTAGACTAAAGATACAGCAAGGCAGATCTATCACTGCAGACTTCCTCCTTTCAATTCCCTAGACCCTCAGGCTCAAACGAGAACCAATTCTGTACATGGGCTGCTAATGTGTTTCCTTAGGAAAGCCTAGCAGACTGAGGAACAACAAGAGCACAAAATACTTCTGAAGCATCAAACACACCGAGAAGCACAAAATGGACAGCCAGAAGGTATCAGCACACAGGATATTCAACAAGCATTGATGCTTTCCTGCTTTCTTCTGCTGAACCATCCGACAGGATGATGCAGGCACTGAGAGCACCTCGGCCTCCGCTCTGGTGCCAGCAGTGCAGCCAGCTCATGCCCCGACTGCTGACTCTTCTTTTGCTCTGGCTTCCAAGCATGAAGCTGCCCAGCCTGTGACAGCTGATCAAACCAGATGCTCTCATCTGGGCTTTAAATCTGCCACGGCACACAGGTCAGTCAATACTTTAGTTATGCAGCTGTAAAGGAGCACGGCTAAAGCCCATTTCACTTGTCCATATTAACTGAAGTTCATTTTTTACAGTTATTAATACCATTTAGCCAACTTTGCAACAGGCTACATAATAAAAGCAAAGCTTATTGCAGCAAAGATATAATGCAGAACTTTTAATCTGTTACGAATTAAGAGACCCACAACCATTTCAGAGAGAAAAAATGAAGGAAATGGCAGCATTATGCCACATCACCTGAACATGACACTTCTGTGCCACTGCCAGACATCTGGAAGTGCTCCAGACTTGTACACAAATCAGGATGGGAATGTATGCGAAGGCTGATTGACCATTCTAACAGAACCCCCAGAGCCTACAGGGAAAGGAGTGCCATATTTAAACAATGAGGCATTTCATAACTGTGAATATTTAAATGTGGATAGATATCTACAACCAAGGAGATACGTCTAAGTTGGCTGTCAGCTCCATGATATGATCTGTATGAGAATGTCTATCGCAGTAATTTTGCGGGTACAACAGATAATGCAAAGAACACCCTTCCGAAGGATGAGGGATGTTTACCATCCCAAGGCACGTAACTTCAGGAGGCTCTTCTGACGACAACTGATTTTAAGTGGAAGGTCTGTTGCCCTGATGCCAGTTATTCTGCATGTAAAGAAGAGCAGAGCTCCCGTTCCAGGTCTATGAACATAAAAATCACAAATCTGAATCTGAGCACAGCAAGGACTTGCCTGTTTCAGCAATTCAAAAAATACCAGCTACAGAGCATAAAACCTCAACCAACCACCTCAGAAAAATAATGAAACTCACCAAAACGTGATGTGCACTAGCATTAAAAAAATGTCAGTCTTACAGATTTCAGGGGCTAGATTTGGTACTAGGCAGAGTGAAGTGACACAGGGCTCATGCAGCTGACAAAGCAGGCAGTAGAGCATTCAGCTTCCACTGGGAAGCAGCAGGGCATTAAAAGGTACCAAAACATACCTTGAGTAAGATAAGAAGCATTTCAGCCTGAAACGGGAAGATTTGTGCTGGTTAATACTGTATGCGTAAACAAAGAAGTTTGCTGGGGTTATAACTGTGCTTTAAGACCCTTCCCCACAAATCCTTCTCCCTCCAAGCAAAACAGTGAGCTTGCAGATGGGAACCCCTCACTTTTTGCACACTTACTCCGCAGGAGCGTGCCCACAGACAGTGCGACATTCTCCTTAGTGGCGTTATTTCATTGAAAAATACAGTGATCAGGTCACTTCTCCCTAGCACATGAAAGGCTCGTTACGCCTTATGCTCTGCCTTTGCATCCTCTTACCCCTCGCTACCCAAAAGGTCACTCCCACCTTGCAGTACAGCTGGGCAAAATTTTCACTTCTGCTTCCTATTTAACCAGATTCTTGAACTCGCAGGCAATAAGGTGAGAGCAGTAAAGGACGGGGTTATTTCTATAGGGCCATTCTCAACTACAGCATCCCCAGAAAAATTTGTTTCCCTACGTGCTTTCCACATGACATGTCTGAGTGTGATTTGTAAACTCTGAAGTTCACAGAAAGGGCTCATCCAAAGCAGAACTCAGAGGAAAGTACAGTTTGGAGGACAGTCCATCTTGCTCCAAAAGACAATCTCCTCTGGGAATAGCTGAGTAGCTCATGTCAGATACTGCACGACGAGAAACATAATTACACAAGTCAAAATCATTCCCCCAATCATGAAGTATTTATCTTGAAAGGCGCGCTTCTCAATCAGCCGCATTACTGTATTGGATAAGCCCAGCATGTTGGCAACATCCAGGATCTTCTTGTGAGTACCCTATGAAAAAAAAAGACAGCAAAGAAACAATTAACCTCATGGTCCAACACTCTTATACCACAGTCCAAGAATATTTCATCATGGGTGGCAAGTGATGAATTCTGATCAATGGAACTTGCTATCACCCAACAGTTCCTACAGTTTAGGAGGAGATGGCCACAGGACCCTGGAAATAGCTGGATGATGAGACTAATTAATTCACACACATGAACAGGAATGTGATTAAAAATAGAAAGCAATCTCTCCGGACACAGATGTCAAAGAATGGCTCAAACAAAACACACTCCCTGTGGAGACATTAAGAATCTTTCTGGTTCTTTTTCAGACACACGGTCTAATAAGAGCTTGAAGCATCTTGATCAGACAACCCTTTATTGCAGAACTTCCCTCCTGCTGAAGTAGAGTTCATACCAACAAGAGACTGAAAAGGAGGCCCAGAAACTTGTAAGGCCAATGGTAGAGTGCAATGAAAAGGCATATAAAAGTGTAATTAATGCAATTTCAAGAAATCCGTCTGGAGAAAAGCGCTGAACAAAGACTGCTAGCAGGTGTACTGCAAGAAAGCCCACACCTCAGTTTTCTTTCACTGCTGAAGCAGTTGGTATCATTAAGAATGTGGATTCTTAATAATAACTAATTAATTCCACCAGTTACCACATCAGCAGTAAGCATATGACAGAAAAACACAGCAAGCTACAGAACTGGAGGTACCAGGAAATGAGCTGGGGGAGCCACTACTGCAGTGCAGCAGGAATACTCTTCCTTTATTTCAGACCAACAGTTAAAGGAAACTGTAAAAATACAGGCACATAGGTGTACTCTGGGCATCGTCCCATCTGGGAGGGAGAGAACTCACAGCTACGGAGGTGGTAAGGTAGGTGAGACAGACCTTTCTAGATAAGCTGACAAATGGGGAACATACGGATGGGCAGGCAGAGCTGCTGAGCACCGCAGCTCAGCTCCCAGCACGCAGGCAGACACTGGCCAGGACCAGCCTCCACCGCACCTCCAGGGGCACAAAGATGGGCACTGCTACAAAACAGCCTTGTTACACCACGGTAATGATAAGGGACAGTCTCTCGAGTTGAATTCTGGGTCCAAGTCCTTAACAGAACACCCTGCTTCACAAAGATGTAAAGACTTAAGTTATTTCTTCCCTGGGCAAGGTCAACAGCACAGATTCCCATTGCAGTGATCTACTACCATGCTTTAACTTTAAAAAAAAAACCTCTAGCTTCTGTTTTCACAGTCCACTGTATCTTTGGTCTCAGACGACTAAAAAGGTGAAATTAGGGAACTTTTTTGAATATAAACCTGACTTAAGATCAGAAAAGCTGAGGACAGAATTTATATCAACTATATGAGACATACATGCACAAACATTTTCTCAAGCCATAAACCATGCAGATTTCCAATACCAACTTAGATAATCAGTTTCTTCTGTAGAAGACTGTGTAGGTATTCAGGCCCTTTGCTGAAATCATGTTATGTATCTGCTAGTAAAACAATCACATTTTTCACCTTCATTTCATACACCTCAGACTAAACCCCTGGATACTACACTTACAAGTTCAGCACTTTTCCTGTCTCTGTAACAACCTTTTCACACTACTTCAGAACAAAAGAAAACCTTGGAGAAGAGAAACCAAATATGAAGCTTTAAAATGAAAACAAACCATAGGAAAAGCGAAGGAAGACTCTTCAATTCTTGCAGTCAGAACACTGGAATTGTACAAGTAGAACAGCTAAAGCCTTGTGACAATTTGGTAATACTTGGTTCATACCCGTCTATCTATATGCAATACCCAAGAAGTTACATAAAATGCTTCCAAAGTAACCCATTTACCTTTGTAAGCTGTCTCTATGCTAACTGCTTCTGCCAGATTTGTAAAGGGGCAATGAAATCCTTGATAGTGTAAGAAAAACTCAGCTAAGGGGAAAAGGAATACGAAGAGATGTTTCCTCATCTGTAAGTGAGAAGAAATAATCCCCTGAAAATGTAGGAACATGATGCTCCCAGAAGAACTGACTATTAGTAGCACTGGGCAGAGACACACTAACAACTTTACTATTACAGTTCTGACCTGAAGTATGCTTGACTTGCTACAAGCTGGCAGCTATCGTAAGGCCTGCTTACACTTGTAGAAGGCCCGTCATCATCTAATGGGAATCCAGGCACGTTACTGCAACCTAACTAGCAAAAGAAGCAAGATGAGACTACAAGAAGAAACAGTATTCCCTCTCAATCTCTTTGATGCAGCAGGTTCTGCAAGTGTTCCTTTCTCACATTTGCCAACTGTAGTTAAATTCTCCAGATTGGGGATGCATGCACTTCCTTCTCAGGAACCCTCCAGAAACCAAGTGCTTCAGTCACTCATCAGAGATTACCTCGAATCAGTGACTTACCATCCTACAGAACCAACAACTCAGACTCCCTGGGTGCAGCACAGGTACCCTCATGCACTTTAATGACTGGATGCCCCAAGCCAATGTGATCAGCCACCAAAGCCATCCACAGCTAAACACAGAGGACAAATGGCTCCTCTGCCGTTACACCCCACAGTGGTCCTGCCCAGTGCTTGTGAGTGCCAGGCAGCCTGGAGCTCTGTGATCAGGATAGGAAGTCCCTGGCTTGGGAACTGCAAGACATTAGGATTACAAAAAGCACCTAGCCACTCTGCCCTGTGAAGCCCCCCAGCTCTGGTAACTCCTAGGAAATGGTACCACAGGTACTAAAAGTGGCTCCAGAAAAATGCCTGTGCCCTTGAAGAGTGAGACCCAGACGGGTGTGCGGTTCAGGTATCTGTATGTAAACTGGCTAGACTGCCCTCACAGCCAGTGAAACCCTGGTCTGCAATCTGTGGAGATCAAGGCGTGACTCATCTGACCAAACGTAGGGATTTATGTCCGCAATTAAAAATGCCCAAATCCTCTGGCAGATACATCCCAAAACAAGCAGTATCACAGACAACAATAGTTATCCCCATCAGAAGTTGCATACAACAGACACAGGAAATTCCCCACATTTTTCAGAAATCCAGCTTTCCCCCATCACACATATTAAAGCTTTTTATACTTTTCAGCTGTTTGCTCAAAATTTAACATCACTTTGAAAAGTCTTTAAAATAAAAGACAAGTATTTTTTATTAAGAGGCATGAAGAAATACAACTGTCATTAACGGTATTCAGGGAAGGATATATTGCTAAGGTGCATGAGACCTGAGAGAGTATTATCTTAATTACTACTCTTAAGTACTTCACACCAGCTTTGTGATTGCTCTGAGTGATGTTCAACTGAATCAACATCGACCTGTGAGCTAGCCATTACTTCCCATTCTTCACTTGAAAAAAAAAAAAAACAAACACCCAAAACCCCACAACCAAACAACAAAAAAAAAAAACACAAGGACATAACATTCAGCACTCCAAATACTAACTACCATGCAGGTGAAGGCTGCTAGGCCATCCAGCCACAAAGAGAGCTTAAAGATGTTCCTAATAAGATGATAAAATGTAAAGATTTCAGGTATAGTTAAAATGGAGTTTGGGCCTTTCCCAGCATTCTCAGCTTGACACAGTGTACTGAAACAAACTTATGTATTTATTTTACTTAGCCTAGTCATCATAAACACGGAAAAAAGTGGGGTCTTTTCGGTAAAAAACGATGCCCCCACCTTTAGTGTCACTCTCTGGTCCCTCAGCCCCTGAAGGATGTTGGTCCCACTGCCAATAAGATCATCCATGCCACGATGGGCATTCTGGAGGGATTCATTAAACTGTAATGTTTCGTCGATCGGTATGGTGGTGTCAGAGTCCTGTAGGGGAAATGCAGGGTCTTGGTTACCTTGCCTGCTCATTCATACTGCTCATACAGAGTTAGACCCAGAAGAGAACATGCAGAAATAAATGTGGCAAAAACTTGACAAGACTTGAAGGATTGTTTTAAACATTTTTTCATAAGGGTATTACATACAACATGAATATTTGAGTGAAAAAGTAATTTAGAGAAGCCTACAGGAATCAAGCCAAAAGGCAAAGTTGATCAGCTGTTCAACTGCAATTGGATCTTGAAGGACAGAAAGTCAGATTAAAAGTGGAGAATATCTCAGTTTATGATATATGTAGGAAAAGGTTTTACAAGAGAGAACATCAAAACTAACAGAAGGTGTTTAACAAGGAGTCATTTGATCATTGCAAGTGAAAGACTTTTGAAAGATTTAATATCACATTTCTAAGCGACAAAGACCTGTAAAACACGACTGGGAGATGACACTCTATAAATTTACAACATGGTGCAAATTTCTGATAGTGAGGGCAAACAGACATGAACCTAGTTTCTTGAAGGTCTGACTCGCTCAACACCCAAGGCCTTATAAAAAACAAAACAAAACAAAAAAAACACCAAAAAAAACCACCCCCCCACTTTTTTCCAGAAAAGATGCATTAGCTCAACTAGAAACTATGAATCTTCAAACGGAAACAACTGGAGAAAATTCTGTAATCTGGATTGCACAAGAGGTCAGAGGATGTGATCACTTATCTTCCAAAGGCCTCCATCTTCTGGGGAATCAAGATAATAGCTCATCGCTCCCACACTGTTTTACAAACAGGAATCGTGATATTGGTAAGAGATAAAGTGTGGAAACACTGGCTTACATGCTTCCACGTACTCAGAACAAGAACTACCAAAATGCAGAATTCATATTTAAAGATGATGGCTAAAATCCTACATCTGACTGTCAGCTGTAGGTTACATGCATGTAACAATACCAAACTTGCTCTGAATGGACTCCAATGGTTATTGTTAAAAAAAAGAAATGTTAATGCAGGAATGACATGTACGATCCACTGTTAGATGCTGTACTGTCTATGCGGGTGTTCTGCTTACTGTAAAAGAATGAAGACAGAGCTGTTAGCAGTTGCAGGGTCAAAGTTACTGGATGAAGAAGCAGACACATCTCTTCGATCAAATGTTAATGAAGCACTAAGGTTGAAACAGGTGCCTTGTCTTAGATGAGTCTGCAGAGCAGAAGCATCTGAATGGCTATTATTTCAGATATTTATTAAACTTCAAATCAGCAGGGATTCCATGTCCTATACAAGGAGCTTGCAGAGTTTTTTTTATACACCACAAGGCAGCAAGAAAAATATCTTAAGTAGATTTTTGACATTCCTCACAGGGAGACTTGATGGCATCATCTTTCTTTTGCTGTTAGTGGTTTTCTGCAGAATGGTAAAAGGAAAGGCTCTAAAGATAAAGACCATATTTATGTTCAAAATAAGCAAAATGTTCAGAACATTGCTACAGCTTTCAAAAGCTGTTATGTGTGTTACAGTGATTTGTTAAGGATGCTTACATGCTCAGCTAACATTTCTATTTAACAGAATAGGGCAGCATATAAATAGAAACTGTGTAAACTTCTAACCAAAAAGATAGGCCATAACTGACAAATCATCATTTTCCTATTAAAGTGTCATTCTACTTTAAAAGTCACATTTTTGTAACAAGTTAAAAGAAATACAAAGTAATCATGCATTTTTTTTCCCATCGTGAGACACCTTTCAACATCTAAAGGAGAAAAAAACCTATTTGCCATTTATTTTGCACTTGCAAGCCTGCTACTCTCTTCAAAACTGTTCCACTTAAATATCTGTTTTATATCTGGAGAAGTTTTCCTATAGCAAAATTTCTCCATATTTGCAGAGTAACACCAGTGTTTTGAAAACAAATCAGGTTTCAAATTTCAGTGTTCCTTTCAAGTCTTGTTTATAATTTCGAAATGGCCAACAAAATGCTAGGTGTCACCTGTATGTCAAGCTTTGAGAAGTACATCAAACTTCCAAAATCTCAAGAAAATAAGACCGCTCACATTCATTATTCCTTGCCCTAGCAGTGAATGACAACACAGATAATGAATGTTAGGTTATATGCCTTTAACAAAAAAAAAAAAAAAAAACAAAACAAAGACTAGCTTTTGAATTACAGGAAAGTGAAATCTGAAAGCAAACCCACATTATTCAGAGCAAAATTCCTCTAGAAATTTGGGGGGACTTCCCAGTGAAGGAACTAAGAATTAACAAGAAAGGTAGAAACACATTCCTGTTATTAAAAACTTTTGAATCATTTACAGGTAAAAAGCAAGGAGTTTTTTTCCCCAGTTGTGTGATCTGTATTTGGACTTGCTGACATCTACTGACAGCAGGGTGTATAAAAGCCAGGCATTTTACAAATCTCAGGATTTGACAAAATATCTGGCACAAATCTAAGTAAAATGTATTACTTTGGTACCTACCTCATTCACCCTTTTCAAAATGCTATTAAAGTCAGGTTGAACTGCACTGGATAAAACAGGAACTTTTCCTCAAGAGACTTGTACTTTTTCAACATGTATTGTTATTATTTTCTGCGTTTATTCCATTTACATCTCACAGCAGCAATCTAATAGTCATGCCTATGTCTTGCCTGAAACCTCTCTGAAAGACTACAGCTTCTAGAACCCAGAGATCTAAAATAAAGAATATTTACATTAGTAGTGAATGTACGAGCAAGCAACTCTTCTCGCTGTCGCTCCTGCTGCTCCCGAATGTAACGGCGATGTTGAAAGTTCCTCAGAGCTGTCTGCAGATGCTGAACATCATACTTCAGCTGATCAACTCGGCTAGAAAGGATCAACAACAGGAAGACATTTCCAGGGATAAAAATACCATTATTTTCTGGTGGTTTTATATGAACAATGGAGCATTATAAATTAATAGTGACGAGTAATAAAGAATGATGGGTTCTACTTATCTAGAAGATAAAGAGCATTCAATGTTAGGCCTATATTCCAGACTTAGATCTTCTGTGCCTCACTTTTCTACTAAACAGGCAGTTATTTAACTGGAGGCTAACGACAGAATGTGAAGCAGAATTCTTGAGCTATCTTGGACATCCTATCCATGACTGGTCTCTTCAGTAATTATATAACCCTCATTTAACGCAGATTTGGAAAGATGGTAGGATTTTAACAGTTCCTATTTTATGACCCTCATGCACACAGAAGATTAAGCTTTCAAGTTTCATTAATTAGCACCATGTTCTTAAGTCTGAGCTTTTATTACAAGGAGTTTCAAAGTCAGTGGGCAAACAGGAGACATCTCCATTAGGCTAAAACAAATAATGTCCAGAACTCCCATTGCCTCTGATTAAATGTTTGATGACTACAAAGAAAGCCTAGGATGATTATTTCAGATACTGACCTCTAATACAGGTGACGTGAAATCCAACCCTACAAAGGCATTCTGAGACTAAACATTAATTACAGAATAAGAGTTACAGAATAAATTAAAACAGAAGTCCTGAGGTCTCTGGTCCAACCTCCTACTCAAACCAGGGCTAACTTTAAACACCTCCTCATTTTAGTCACCAACAGCTAGGAAAATGGTCTAGAAAAGGACACCAACTGAAGTAATTTTACTCCTTACCTCCACAAATGGCATTAAAAGCAAATGCCATATAGAGTAAAATTTTTTTAAGCCTCGAAGTGTCACGTTCTGCTTATCTCAGAACAGAGCCATGAATCCAGTTCCATTACCAGTCTGTGGTTAAATGCAGGAAAGTGATTTTGCCTCTGTGCCTCATTTTTGCTACTGTAGAGCACAGAGATAAGTTATGCAAAATATAAAGGTTTCACTCAAATCAAAAGGCAAAGGGCTTCAATAAAAGTAATGAAAATAATTACAAGACTACAGTACACTATCATAGCGAAGAAGGTGAACTTACAGTTTAGCATTCTGTCGTTTATTGGGAGGTTCTTTGCTGGACAGGATTTCAAGTCGTTCCAAATTGCTGAATATATTGTCTATTCTTGCCTGAATCTCATTTTCTACTACTGCAAGGAAATAGAAATGTGATTTGATTTCAATTTAAGAACTGCAATCTGAGTGAAACATTCAAAGCAGTATTTAAAACCTGACAGATCCAAGTCCTTACTGGATGGAAAAAAAAAAAAAGAAATCAGATAACTGAGAACTATAAATATCACCAAAAAACACTTAAGTCAGTAATTTGAGGCTCTTGCCTTTCCCTCCTCTGAGAAGGCAGCTAGAAATGTTCCTCAAGATATCTGAGCCTCTTTCCCTACGAGGTCCATGAATTAGGATTTACAGCTCCCACCTTCCCCCCTTGCACTCCCTTCTTCTTCCCTTGGCAGGATTTGCTCACACAAGCTAAGAGCAAAGATAACTCTCACAACTTAATATACATCATCCGTATCTATAGCAGGGGAGATTGACAGAGCATGGGAAGGATTCAGAGTTGACAGGAATTAGCAGACTGGACAAACAGCTCAGAAAGACATGGCCAAAACAGGACTGACGCCCTTGAAAGTGGGAAAACAAGGCCAAAAAATAATTGCCTCTGTAATCATCTAAATTGAAATTGATTCTGATAATCTGCATAGAAATAGCAAGAGTACACAACACAAACTCATATACTTGTAGTTTAACGAGGTGGGAAACTGATACAACTGGGGAGAGTCCTATGCTTTCAGTTACTGTAGTCATTGTACAGCAAAACACGGTACAAGCCACAACCCCCTTCCTCATTTGACAACCACATTTTCTAACGATGTCACAATCCAGCGTTTCACAACTTCAGGAATTGCACAGAAGGGCAAAAGACAGGAGCACTATTAATCATCTGACATTCTTGTGTTTGAAGAAGGTGAGTTGTAGACTGAAGGTACGCACCCTCCCGAGCACGTCCTTAGGCTGGTTATTAGGGGACAGAAGCACCGTGCAGCCATGAGGGCAGTCCTGAAGTCTCAGACTGCCATGGTTAGACCTGGTATAAATAATCACCAAATCCTGCAGACTCCATTTGTTCTCATTTTGCAGTCAGACTAAAGTCTAAACTAACTACTCCACAGTATCTCAGAACTTTCCAGAAAATTGCATTCAGCAGAACCCGGAAAAGAAAACAGCACATGCAAACCCTTTTCTTTGCCCTTTGATCTCACAGAATCAAAGACTAACTCACATACAGACACACAAATCAATCAAACTGTCCTAATTCATCTCTCTATCATTTAGTACAATTAAAATTAACAGAAAAGCAACCAGGAGAGCAGACAATTACATCAGCTTTTGCCAGTCCAAACAATGGTATTCCTATCCTGGCCATCTTGCGCTTTTCTGAGCTAGAAGTGATTATTTGCCTGAAGTTGGACAAGGAAAGCTGCAACAGAAAATTTTATTTCCTGGCTCCTATTCCTGCTCTTCAGACAAAAGCTAATCCTTCTTCCAATAAATTCTGAAATACACACTAATATCTAAAGTACATATCTGTATCTTTACATATATATATAGAAGCAGTATGTTCATTTACTGACTGTTTGAAGTGGTACATAATCCTATCTCCTGAAATGGTCTCAAGTAGCAGAGGCAAGATGGCAAATTTGCTAATTTTCCAGAGGTTCCAAAATCACATCCAGTGAACAGCAGTTCAGGAAGTCCAGCATTGTACTAGGAGTAGTACAACCACCACAAAAAAACAAAACCAGTAGACAAGTCATTATTTTTTGATAGGAAAGCTATCATAGCCCTTTCTACAGTGAGGTCATGCTTCACAAATATATTTAGGGCAATAGAAGTCAGTCAACATGTGCATAAAAGCATCCAGTCAATGCAGTGTCCTTTCACTTCTGAAATTCCTGGTGAGGCCCATCAACAATTACTCATGCAGGAATTGAGTCTTCAAATACAGGTCTAAAATACATTTGCCAATTCTGCACTGGGGTAAAAAGTCCTGCCACAATATATCATAGCATTTTATTACAGTCATTTTATTAGCACAGGGTTATAGTCCAAATGTACTAAAGCAATTTCAGACCTAGTTTTTCTACATACTTCTCATAAGCAGATGGAATTACAGGTTCTGACTCTGATGCAAGCAGGAACTATCAGAACCATCCTGTATAAATTCCTGCATTCAGCAGCATTTTCCCCAGAAACTGGACTAAGCATCTTTTGGAAAAGACTGCCAATTAGTGGATGCTTAAGGAATAGCAAGCCAACAGGACATACACAACCACATTTCTGGCTTTTGAGCTTCTAACAAACTAGCCTGGTGATGTTCTGAATCTGCAGTTCTGTCCACAGCAGTGTGTTCATTACACCTTCATGACTGCATTAGTGTGAGGTTTTTTAACCTGTTTATGCTGAAGGCCTCCACAGCATACCATGACAAGGAGTTCCAAAATTTAACAGCACCAAAAAATATCTGGCATTGCCATACCAAGACATCATAGAAGCATCCTCAGTAAGCACTATTTGTCAGTTAAAGAATTACATTACAAAGGTGATTTTAAGTAAATTCTTGTTCTCTTCTGCTCTGTCCTTCATACAAAACATCATCTTATTGAAGTCAGAGAGTAAAATAATTTTAATGCATTCCAAATTGGCAATGTGTCTCACCAGTTGATCACAATGACTTAATGAGCCAAACTGGTTCCAATAATCATTGTAAATACAGTGATAAAGCATACAAGGTCAATGATGCAAGCTAAATCAAATCAGTACTGGAGTGGAACTTTCCTCACTAATTACTTACTTACAGTGTACTAACTCTTTGTCTGAAGTCTCCAGGCGTCCCATGTAAGACTGGACCTCATGGACTTGCCTATGAAAAGATAAACAGAAGCAGCCAGTTAACAGCTATAACATCAATTCATTTTTCAATACCTCAATTTTTGGCTTCTTTTAAGTAAAAGTGCTTTTTATAACAAAATAGGAATCAGTTATATAGTATTCAGTGCAGAGAGCCCATCACTGAACACAAAAAAACCCTCAATTCTTCAGTATGAAGTAAGCTGTGCTTTCACTTAACATGCATCTACAAAATAATTTTCAACTTCAAAAAAAATAAAAAAACAAGGTGAAAGGGATGGGGTTTTTTCTTCGAAGATTTCCAGTTCTAGCTCCCTTTTCATATGTATAACCCACACTGGGGCTTTCCCCATGCCACACACCTAGCATGCTGCAAGCCATTAAGATCTACCTACTCCAAGACAACCATGGAGACAAGAGTTCAGGTTAACACTAGGAACTCCCAAGGTGGTGAGCACAGCAGAGGGAAGATCTGACTGGGAGAAGAGCTGGTACAAGTGAGACCTTTATAATAGATCTGCAGTGAAATGCTACCTACACACACCATGGAAGTCAAGAGTGCTGATGAGATGCCACACCTTTATGTCACTACATAAATGGGTAGTATGCACCTTCAACACCAAACACAGGTTTTGCCCTTCCCCTCTCAAAAACAAAACAGAAGCACTGGGAAAGGCTCAGAGAAAGACAGTAAAGATTATGAAAAGTAAAGAACAGCTTCTATACAAGAAACAGGTGTTCAGTCTGTAATGGAGATGACAGCGGGGAGCTATTCTAGAGCATAAATGGCGCGGAAGGTGAATAAGGAATGATTTTCACTGTCTGTTAAAACATAGCTATTACAGAGGCATCAAATGAAATTAAAAGCTTAAAATTGAAGAGAAGAAACTACTGTTGCTGGACAAGCAGTGGCCAAGGTAAACAAAAATAAAACACCAACCACTGACGACTGTTAAATTCCTCTGTTTCAAGAAGCCCCAAAGCCTCACATTTCTGGGAGACTAGGACAGTATTTAACAAAAGTATCACATATGTTTGCCTGTTTCTTATGGTCTTTCCTAGAGATGTGCAGTTAGGCATTGCTGAACATACACCAGGACAGATGGACCTTTGGCCATACTTGGTGTGAACAATCACAATCTCAGAGCAGCTGGGATTCAGACTTCAAGAAACAGACTTAAAAAGTTACAAAAATATCATGACCTTTTTTCAAAAAAAAATTAAGAGATCTTAATTTTGGTCACACTAGTGGCTCTTTTTCTGGTGTATGTACCGCTTTATAACTACAGCACAAATGTTTATGAAACATGACCTCTGAAACCAGCTTACCTTACAGAGAAATAAAATATGTATTTTACAGTTATAAGATTTTTGAATAACTACCTGGGCTACCTTCCAAATCACAGCACTGTGCTGCTGAAGAGATCACAGAGTATGTCATAAGTACCACATGATTTGGAATTAACCAGAGAACCAATTCAATATCCAGTATCTTGCAACACACATTTGTCCTACAGTTTTGTTTTCAGTTTCTTGAGGATGCCCCAGACAGCCTGCAACTCACATTGCTCTTAAAATGTTCTTAAAATGCCTGTTTAGAAACCCAGGTGTAGGAACCAAATCAGACATGTGCAACTGGATCAGAAAAACAACTGCATGCTCACCAGGACTCTTCCCATGCCAGAAAGTACAGTAAGACCGGAGAAAAGAGTTTAAAAACTCAGAATATCCCCAGGCTGACAACAAACACGTAACTCAGTGACTACAGTCTCCAGAGCAGCTGTAGCTGCCCCCTCCCTGGAAAGGTTCAGGGCCAGGTTGGACGGGGCTGGGAGCCCCCTGGGCTGGGGGAAGGGGGCTCTGCCCGGGGCTGGGGGTGGCACTGGAGGGGCTTTAAGGCCCCTTCCAACCCAAACCAGTCTGTGATCACAGAATAAGTCAATATTGAAACAGGAACAAGACAAGATTATTCCGTTAACAGTTACTGTTATGGGTATGCATTTCTAAATTAAGGGCAGGACTTCCTGCTCTTCCCTGCAGGGTCACTCTGTATCGTTATTCCATTAAAGTCTCTGACTTACCACACTACCTCCTTCAACAGAACTCAAAGAAACCCACTGCCACAGAAATTTGGAACATTTGGATTAACTCTCTCCTTTGGTCCCTTTCCCACGCATTATTCCACATCACACAGAGCTGCACGATTTCTTGCCTTATTTTGCAATTTTCATACCACTTCTACTTCACCCGATCAGCATTATCTGTGAAACAGGGCAAGTTTTATCGGCAAGGAGTCACACATTTCCCGAGTTGGTTTAAATTGTGTCTGCTAGCCACCCCCAAATCCCTGTGGCCATTAAATGCTACTAAATTAGTATACCTTCAATGTATACACACTTAATAAAACAGAATCACTTCTTTCCAGTGAATACTTGCAATCCTGTGCTTTAAAACCCCAAGGCGAGCAGGCTCTGCTCGCTCTCGGCCTGACGCGGCTAACAGCACAGGCTCCGGACAGACAAACGGCCAGCCGGGACAGGCTTCTGCTCCCTGCCGCGGCCGACACACAGTCCCCAGGGCAGCACTCCGGGGTGGCGGACGAGATTTTCTTACACGGGAAAAGCTTTTACAGGGCGCTGAGGGCGCGCTGGGCCGCAGGCTGCGTGCACGCCCTCCACCTCCTCCCCCCGCGGCCCGCAGGCAGGACGCTACGGCCGGGGCCGCCGGCGGGGACCGGGAAGCTGCAGGCCCAGGCCCCCCCCCCCGTCACCTCACGCACTTGTTGGTCTGGTGGTAGAGCCCCTCCATGCCCGCCCGCCGCCGCCGCCGCCGCCCACGTCGCCGCCGGCCGCTTCCGGCGCCGCTTCCGCTTCCGCCGGCCACGGACACCCCGCCCCTTCCCCCCCCACCCCGTCCCTTCGACGCATGCGCCGCCCGCAGGGCCACGCGCGGCCGCCAGGGGGCGCTGCCGTCCCGCGCCGCCGCGGCGGGGGGGGGGGTGGTGGGGGGGGCGATGGCGGGAAGCGAGGGCGGGGCGTGGGCAGGTAATGGTGTGTCGCGGCGTCCCGGTGTGTGCAGGGAGAATTCCGAGCCTCTGCCCGTCGCCTGGCACCGGCCGGGCTGTCACCCCCTCGTTCGCCTTTCCTGCCCTCATGTGCCCTCACGTTTCCCCCCCACCGCCATCTCCGCCAGGCTGCCGGGAGAGGGGGATCATCCGCGGGCGGGAGTCGGGGTGCACCCAAACCGCGCTGTGACTCTGCCGGGGAGCTCTGGATGCCTCGTCCCCGAAAAGGTCCCGGGCCAGGTCGGACAGTGCTTGGAGCAACCTGAATGTGGTTGAAGGTGTCCCTGCCTTCCCAACGGGGTTTGCGCTGGATGAGCTGTAAATGTCCCTTCCAACCCAAACCAACCCACGAGTCTATCACCCCTCCACACCACGAAGTAGTTGCTTTAAATTCCCATCATGGTCAGTGAAGATTTTGCCAGCTAAGACAACTGCCTTTGCTTATGTGAACTGACCACTGAATCGCAGAACAGTTTGCGTTGGAAGGGACCTCAAACACCACCCAGTGCCACCCCCCGCCCCGGGCAGGGCCCCCTTCCCCCAGCCCAGGGGGCTCCCAGCCCCGTCCAACCTGGCCTGGAACCCTTCCAGGGAGGGGGCACCCACAGCTGCTCTGGGCACCCTGGGCCAGCGCCTCACCCCCCGCACAGGGAACAATTTCTGCCTTTGATCTCACCTAAATCTGCCCTCTTTCAGTTTAAAACCATTACCCCTCATCCTGTCCCTGCACCCCCTGATCCAGAGTCCCTCCCCACCTTCCCTGTCCCCCCTTTAAGCCCCGGGAGGCCACTCTCAGGGTCCCCCCCGACCCTTCTCTTCTCCAGGCTGACCCCCCCCAACTCTCTCAGCCCGGCCCCCCAGGGGAGCTGCTCCAGCCCCCCCAGCATCTTCGTGGCCTCCTCTGGCCCCGCTCGAGCAGCTCCGTGTCCTTCTGCTGTTGGGGGCCCCCGAGCTGGCCCCAGCACTGCAGGGGGGTCTCTAGAAGTCAAGTCATCTCTAGAAGTCTAGCTGGGTGGCACACATGGAGATGTAGACACTGAACAGGAAGCCTACATCTAGGCATCCCTTATAAAATAGCCGTTCCATCTCTCTGATCGTCATTGCCATCTTCTGTGAACCTTGCCTAGCTGTCCCATTCAGTCTTTCATTTTCATAGAACCACTTTAACTCCAAAAGCTCGTTCATAAGTGGTCATGGTCAGCTCAGGGCATCCATTGTGAAAATAGCTTTGCTTTCTTAATAATCCTGGGTTTTCCCCTTATCTTCAGATACAGTGAATTCCCTGCACCAGGTTATCACCCTTTCATTATGCAACAGCAGATTCCTCTGTCCTTTTTCTCGGGGATGGCAGTTTAGGCCTTGCTCTGGGGTTGCATGAAAGACTGCTTTCAGTTAGCTCATCTGTACATAGTTTCTTAATTGTTTTGACCAGATAATCAACACAAGTTGAAGCCACAACCCTTTATTTCTTGCTAGACTATAAAACCTGACATGCTTTATGGTCATAGTCTCCTGAGCCACCTGAACTCCTGCAACCTTTTACCTTTATGGGAGAATGAAGGAGAAGGGAGATTATTTTAAAAAAAAAAAAAAAAGAAAAAGTAGATATAGGCCAGTTAGTCAGGGCACTAGGACATAAGAAATACAGATACAAAAATTTATTAAAAAGCTAAAATTAAGACTATAAATCATTCTTGTCAGTGTACTTTAATGGAAAGTAGTTCTTGTCAAGAAACATAACTACATTCTAAGCAGAGCTTGATTGTGAAAAGTTGGGAAAGACATGTATTCTCTAAAGCATTCAACTTAATACCACAAGATCGGTCATTTAAACATTAGTAAGAGTAATCTCTGCCCTGACAGACCAGACAAGCACTCAACTCTTTGCTCTCCACTATTTATTCCCTCTCTTAAATGTTGCCTTTTTCTCTTGTTCCTCAGCCTTTGAATTGTCCCTGATGTTCGGTTGATACTACCCTTTTCTAGGTTCATGCTACCTGGCCCATTTGTGGTATGGAGAGAAACCTGCTCTATCACAAACGATAATGTGGTAAACTGGGTCCATCCAAATAAAATGCTCTAATACAGTTAAATACAATGTTTTCAATCATAAACTGTCTTCAGCAACCTCATCCCTACGCCGCACTTTTCTTCACTTAGGCAAAGCCTAAATAACTTTACAGCAAAAATTCAAGATACTAAAGGATGACAGACATTGGAGGAAAGATGAGAAAATATGTTAAGAGGTGGGGAAGCTTAAGCCGAACACCTTATGTGACACCACACAAAATGTGAAACCTTGAGACTGGCACAGTCTCCAAAGTGGTCGTGTTTTATCTGGTGTTGCTCATTTACTGTTAAGGGTGTGCACCTGAAGAATATGGTCTAGTCACATCAGAACAAGTCACTGGGCATCATACAGATATAAATGAGTGAAATAACTACACATCTTTAATTAATAAGAGATCCTTGTTCCTGTGGATTCATTCCTTGCATCTTGGGATGATGCATGAAACTTTCTTTGTCTGCCCTGCCCTGCCATGCAGCAAGCCAGGTGTCTGGAAAAAGTTTATCCCCTATCTGATATCTAATAGTAACTCAAGCCACATAAATCACATCAATTTAAGAATAAACAGTGTATCAATAAAAAAACATTAACTGCATCAGTAACAAATATATTCAGTCCTTGTTCTTTGCTCTCCCTTGTCTGAGCCATTATACCCTGCTTTCAAACACTTTCAGGAAATACAGAGGTTGAATGAAAATAGATGCTGGGATTTCACTCCTGGCCAGGGCTGTAAGAATTATCACAAGAGTTTTGATGAAGTGGCAAGCACTGAAATACAAGAATGAATTTCTGTTCTTTTATGAAGAAATTGATTTTTGCCAGAAACAACATGCTGCAACCAGGCGTCTGTTCTTGTTAGACTTCAAGTCCTTCCAGGAGGAGTTCTTCAGCAAATTGGCTCCTTTAGACACAACAGCCAGGAGCATGGAGAGTAAAAAAAAAAAAAGGTTTTGTTCAAGGAAAGCCTCTGTATTGTAAACAGGATAAAAGGGGATGGAGAGAGTCACTTATCACTGTCTAATGTGTCCCCAGGTCATTCCTGTGTAGCACCTACTGGAGAAAAAGGATTTCATATTCACTGCTCTCTTAGAAACCCCAAGCCAACTGTGGGGATTTTTTCTATCAAATAATCTACAGACATCATGTGCATTCAACAGCAGTATTCAGCCCTCCATGGGTGCATTCCCCATTGCTCTCATCTGGCTTGTAGTTTAAAGCCTTGCAGCACCAAAGGGAAAGCTGGATCCTTGTAGGGTCTCCTTTGTTCTGCCTACACCAGCCCGTTTTCCCCTCACAGCTACGGGACTTTGTTCTCTTTCCGAAAAAAACAGACCCTGATGCTCTATTTAAACCAGACTCTACTAATGTGTCTTTCTCTAAGCATGATCCCAACAGGCATAGAAACTCTCTTCCCCTCCTCCTCTCTCCCTCCCTCTCTTTTTCGGGCACACAAAGTATTCCCCAGCTCTTTGCATGCTTTCTTGATACTAATAACTGTGGCTTTAAAAACAAAGGAGTGCCGAACCTGAGGGCATGCCGCAGAGACAAGACATTTAGATGAATGCTTGATGGAGACTCCTCACTTAGTCCAGCTGCAGGCCATGGGGCTGCATGTCCCAGCTCTGACAGACTCCCTTACACAAGCCAGACCTCACAGCACGCCTCTCAGCATTTTGAGGCTGTAGAAGTAGAGAAAAAGAGAAGGGGAGACATGACAAGAATATTGGAGACTCATCTATCATATTTCTTGGACTGTTGGGTGAAGTGCTGGACCCAGGTCTTCCTGGGCAGTAAGCTTTTTAAAGACATATTGCACCTTCCTTCTCATCTTCCCAAAATAAGAATGTTTCTGCACTACAATCATGGTCAGTTTTGAGATTAATCTGTGTCCAGAAGAGTCACAGCTGCTTGGACTATCATTCCCTTCTTCATAAACATACTAGGTAAAGGGATACTGCAAGGGTGGGGAAGGTCAGGCCAACGGAAAAAGAAATCAAGCAACATTTTTACCATTTCACTAATTCCCTTCCTTCTGCAGTGACACCAGGGAAATATAATAGAAATAGAAGGGAAAAAAAATCACACAATGGTGAGAAACACTACAGCATGCCACAGTCTTAGGGATTTTTGAGACAGAAATGGATGGAGGATTGGAGAATATCCTGGGCAAGTATGTTTGCCTCATGCTTTTATTATTCCCTGTGAAACAGCCACACGTGACTGCTGGAGATTAAATACTGACCTCGATGGATTTTTGGTACATGCACTACACAGGATAGTGCATGTAGTACATTTGGTAGCTCCATGCCTCCACTGCAGTATAACGTGTTATATTATCGTAATAAACGGTAAACATGACTTGGTTCTCTATGTGGGACTGAGTTACTTGTGCCTTTTCCCTGACAATCACATCTCAGTTTGACCTTATAGATGAAATTCAGAAAACAAGAACAGAAGAGCCTCCTCCAACAAAGCCAGGGAGGCACAATGGGCAAGAAATTACATTGCTTTCCCCAGTCAGTGAACAGATGAAATTACAATAATCCTGGCAAGAAATGTCGCACCTTGCATCCATTTGCCCAGCATCAGGGACTTGTCAGGAGCCTCAACTGCCTTCTACTGAGAGAGCATTTCCCCCCAGTCCCAAATCCCATAGCAAACTCTGGGTCCAGGCTTTAAAAGCTCTGGGTTTGAAAATCTGAATCTATTTACTGGGCAGCCCTGT